TTTATAAATGGTTTTGAGAGAGATGTTTTATTTTTATATTCTTAGGGTACAGTACCCAAGTCGAATATAATTGAAAGAATACTAAGCTCAATGTTTTACAAACAAATTGTGTCAGCGTGTGGGCTTCAAATCACTTGCTGATAAGATTTTTAAGCAGAAATGAAGTTTAAGTTCCTCTTAAAAAATCGATGTTTTCCATGGGAGTCACTCACATCCAGAAGCTCAATGAATGCAGGGTCCTAAAGGTGAATGAAAGGTGATGGGATATTTCCATCGGAAATTCCACAAATATCGGGAGCACAAAACTGTCTTCCCTCCAGTGTGCAGGGTTATTTTGGGAGTGAGAAGAAAAAGCCACTTAGACACCAACGTTTTTCAGCTGTCTGGGTTCTGTACAGAACCATGATGCCCAGGAGACCTTGGGACACTGGGCCTTCGACAGTGTCCACAGCTGAGTCCATGGCACTGGGGCAGCACTGTGAGGCTGTGGGAGCAAAGGGGTCCCGAGTGACATTCACTTCAAAAGGTCTGTGGTGCTGAGGCCCAGAAGCCTTGAACTGAGTGCAGCCTCCGAAAGACCTTGAGCTGCTCCTTCCTGCTCAGGCATTTCCCTCTCCACCTCCCCCCATCAGATCCGGCCCAAGACCTCCAGGACCCCTTAGTTGTGCGTCCTAGCATGGATACAACCCCACACACGTGAGCCCGGTGAGATCTGTAACCCCAGCACTCAGGAGACTGAGTCTGGAGGGATACTGCAAGTTCAAGGCCAGCTTGGACCATAAATATAGAGCCTGGGGAAACAAAGAATGTGAGAAAGACACAGTTTAGAACAAATGTTATTTATTTATGTTTTTAAATTTTTATTTTTTTTTGAGACAGCGTCTCAAAAAAGAAAAGAAAAAGGAAACAATAATATTTTTTTAAAATCCCCCCATCTGCCTCTGTAGTATTTTACATCCCCATGTTAAAGAAGGCCTTTGAAGAGCACTGAAAATTAGAAACTCAGACTAAACGGATCTCAGCAAAGAGCTGTGGCCGCCACACCACAGGCAGATGGCAAGCAATGCATGGTGCAGATTTCAAAAGGGACAAGGTCTCCCCTCATCCCCTGCTCCCCAGGTGGCCTGGAAACCAGCCAGCAGCTTCGAGCCTGGATGCCCATCGCTGCCGCTGCACAGGGAGAACCAGTCCTCCTTCAGCGCTCCAGGAGCAGGGGTGCGCACAGCACCGGAACCCTCCCGCCCTCATAGTAAGGTAGACATGTGACCTTGGTCCCAGGGTAACCTGGGGCAATCTCCTCATTGTTCATTCTTTCCAGCATCTGCATTAAAATCTCCTCACGCAGACAGAGAGAAACCCCAGCTACTTTGGCAAAGGTAAGCACGAATCCAGCAAGAGGAAATAAGCACCCTGGTTAGGGTGATGTTTACCCTTTGGAAATATTCGCTTTCATTTAAATATTCGCTTTCATTTTTAAAACTATGAGATTTCTTTTTTGTCTTGGTGGGGAGTAGTACCCACCACCCTTGCACTGGCTGGGCAGGTGCTGTGCCACTGAGCTATGTCCCGAGCTAACGCTATATTATTTATAATATCAAGAAAGCAGATTTGATATAAGATATTAGACAAAGAAAACTCCCACTACGGAACTCTGCAACTGAGTGGGCAAAGCATTTCCACCTTTGTTCTTCTCTTCAGTTTCCCTGGATTCCTGTCCCATTGTTTATGACATGGTGCCCTGGACTTAACCGATCAGTGTCTCCTAAATGCTTTTCTGTTTTATCTCACCATCACCGTGGTAACCTGGGTGGCAGCTCCTCAGTCCTGATAAGCAGAATGCTAACGCAGCCATGGCTAAAATCACCACATATCATGACAGCATGATCAAACGCTAAGTTTCAGGAGGCTTCTGTGTTGTCACTATTGTGGCCGACAACTGCTGGATTTTCTCTCTGTTTCGGATGCTCCGAAATCAGCTAACGACATTAAGAATAAAATCCATTCATCTTTTTTCTGAGTCCAGGGCACATGTTTCCCATCATGGGTGCCCTGCTGGGTCAGCTTGGTAAAGCAGAGACGCTGATTCTGCTCCTGTCTCTCCCCCAGCTTGGTCGTCTGCATCCCGACACTCTAAAATTTGTTCAGACATGCGTGGTGGAGCACAACTGTAATCCCAGCACTTGGAAGGCTGAGGCAGGAGGATCGCCCTAAGTTAGAGGCCAGTCTGAGCCTCATAAACAAATTCAAAGCCAGCCAGTACTATAGAGAGACATTGTCTCAAAACAAACCAAAATAATTTTTAAAAATAGTTTATTTTAAACTGTGTCTTTCTCATGTTCTTTGTTTCTTTTCGACAACAAATTACATTTTTCCTCAGGGGTGTGGTGCTCACTTTTTCTGCTTAGAAATCTTGTGCATCTCTACTTTTGCTTTCTTTTCTTTTGTAAAAGTTACGTATTTTCATTGACAAGTAAAAGTCATGTCTAATTACAACATGTTTTGGGTATGTAAACATTGTGGGGTTGTGAAATCAAGCTAATTAGTGTATGCATCACTTCACGCACTTACCATTTTCTATGTTGAAAACATTTAAAATTTAAAAAAATAATAAAACAACAGGGCCAGGGAAATAGCATTTGCTTGATAAGTGCTAGGTCCCGAGTTTGATTCCCAGTACCCAAAAACCAAAACCAAAAGCCCCCCCAAACCAAACAACAACAAATAATAAACAAAAACAAAAATGAAAAACAGCTGGGCACAGTAGCCCACACCTGAAATCCCAGCACTTAGGCTGAGGCAGGAGAATCGCTGGAGTCCCAGGCCTGCCTGGGTGACACAAGGAGCTCAAGGTGAGACTGGAATGCTTAGTGAGACCCGGTGCACCAATGCTGAATGCCCACCTGGTGTCACTCAGTGCAGCGACCCAATATGGCTCCTGAGGTTCTTGGGGTTAAGGGCAAGAGGAAGAGAAAAAACAAAGAAAAGACAAGGCTGGGGTCAGGTGGAGCCCTTATCCTACTGATGGGAGAAAAGGAACTGCTCAACCACTGTAGCACCTTTATTTATATACTGGGAAAGATGATGTCAATTTCAGCCCCTTTGCCTAGCAACCCATTGCTTGACAGGCCTGGGCCCCTTGCCTTCTTGATGCTGGAACAACTTGTTTACATAGCTTGCTTTGGTCTATTTTTTCTGGGCTGGCTTTGCTTTAGCCCCACACATGTGATCCATCTCCACCTTCAACAGCTCGCTACAACTCAGGTGATGCATCCTGAGATGCAGATGGAAGTGTTCCTATTCCCAAGGTCAGCAAGGACTCTAGGTGACCTGGAGCAGCACAATGTTGGGGACCACTACGAAGTGGTTTTGAGCAGAATTTAAATTTTACTAATTGGCTTTCTATGTTTATCTGTGAGTCTGTTCTAGGCCTAGGCCCCTTGCCTGGCAATGGGAGTTGATTCATAGTAAGTGAACCTCTAATGAATCACTGGTCCTGGCTGAGGCCTGTAATGGCCTGTAATGCCAGAGATACCTCAAAGGGCAAGATAAGGCCATAGCTTCAGACACTCTGGCTCCAACCCTAATTAACAAGGTAGAGACTGCAACTGCAAAGATTACTCCTACAGTCTCACTTCTACCATGTCCTCATGATAAGACAGCACTACTAAATTAACTTGATTCATTACTTGGAAATGTCCTTGAAGTGACTCCCAAGGTCCTGCTCATTGCCTGCACTTTTCTCAGTTTCTCCGCCCTTTGTCCTTGGACCTAATATAAGTGGACTGACCCAGAGAATCCTTTGTCTTTAACCTCGAAGCCTCGAGCTTAATTAAAGGGTTTTGACCCTCCCAGAGCCCTACAAATTATACAATTTCTCACTTTTTATTTAACCTCCACCGTACACGGGTTTGGGAGATCGGGGATTTAGGACAGAACCTGCTAGCACACTGACGTTGATGTCACCGATCCCCTCACAGGCTCAGTGCATTCTGCGCTTTGTGTGATCATCTGAGAGGGGAGGCGGGGGGGGGGGCTGGTTCCAGATTGGCAGTCTTAGCGGCTGGCTGCACGCAACTACATGGGGCCAGTGCCCTCCACCTCAATAGACACAGGTCGTGGCTAGCACCATTCTAAACCAGAAGTCCACAGGAGCAAAGTGGAATGGGGATGGCATTGGCAGATCTTCACTGCACACAGCGGGGACCTCAAGTTTAAGCACCAAGGCCCAGTTTATGCTTGGGTTTTGGAGGCCTGGGCAGCAGTGCAGAAACAGACCGGACAAAGATCTCATCTGCCAGTAACAGATGGGGAGGGGTGGGGACTCAGCTAGGTGTCTGTGCAGGGCTCTCTCCTCTATGGGGTGGGGGTAGGGCCTCGGGACTGGTGTTTCAGAAGCTTGCAGAGGAGGTGGACCCGAGGCTATGGCAGCACCTAGGCAGGAAGGTGGAGGAGCAGGCAGAGATTAGCGTAGGTTCTTCAGGCTTTCTGACTTCCAGGTCAGGGGGTTTGGGGCCCTCGACCAACTAGGGTCCCATGGCTGCCTGAGAGGATGATGGACCTGGGCGAGACTTTCTCCTGAGGACTTTCCTTTGGGGGCTGCCACCTCTGACTCCCCCCAGCTAAGAGCAGTAATTGATTATCTGCAAAGTGACTTCATTGGGAACCCCTACTTGGAGATTGTGTGAGTGTGTGTGTGTGTGTGTGTGCACGTGACATTACAAAGTAGACCTTCTCATCATCCCTGTGCTTCTCTAATCTTCCAAACCTCATTAATCAACAGAATAAAAGTGACTGAAGCTCAGAGGTTCAGTGATTGACTCAAGTTCACATGAATTCAGCCCTGCCTGGGCCACACATCCGCCTGCACGAGCAGTCATGACACACAGCTGCGTCACACATGTAGTGATGTCTGAGGTGGAAGGCGAAAGGGCCACCATAGACACTGCAGGATGTTAACCACTAAGCATCGCATGTGATGGAATCAGTACAGTCTCCACAGATTCATAAATTAATCATTTATTTACAGAGGGAGAAAAGTATGAATTGGATTAAAAATTTGCAGCAGAAGTAATTTTAAACTTGTATTAAACAGTGCTTTTCTGGGTAGTAAATCCTGTGAACAGAGAAATAACTTTTTTAAAAATAATTTGCCATGAAGAAAATAAAATAAACTTTAATTCATGGTTACATAATTGGCTGGGAAAATGCCTGTTTGGCCTCGAAGTTTTCCTTCCCACCAATCGAAGTGTGAATCCGTTTTTGACAGCACTGTGATTCTGTCTCCAGCTTGAAAGGGCAGGTCGCCAGGTTGCTGCCCTTCAAAAGAATACAGTGCTGTCACCTCTGCTGGCTGGCTGGAGTCGCCTGAAACAAGACAGAGGATTCAGATGAGCTGCAATCTGCAGGGAAACCTATGCTTCTCTCCTTAGAGAGGAGCAAATACCTGGCAGGACCACGTCCCAAGTCCTCCCAGGCCAAAGCTAAACACTGTTCTCTATCGAACTGCGTGAACTGTGCTTGGAACTATTTGGGTTTGGAATAACCTATAAGGCGATATTATGATCCTGTACTTTTCCCACTTCAGGAGCAATCACTGCTATGGCCTGAAAGACGCCTCCCTGCATTTGGCTGCTGGAATCCTCTGCTCCAAGACAGCTCCATGAATTACACTGATCCCATGATGGCCTCACAAAAGATCCCATCTAAAACCTGGACTCTCAGCTGGGTGGGCTGGCTGACACCTATAGCCCCAGCACACTGGAGGCTGAAGCAGGAGGATCACTGGAGCCCAGGAGTTCATGATATCAGCCTGGCTAACATAGCAAGGTCCTGTCTCAAAAAGAAAACAGAAACTACCTCTGTATACCACTGGTGCTGAAGGTGCATCTCAGGAATGGCCTGAGGGTCAGGTGCGTCCTTCTCCCCAAGCTCACATGTCTCTGTTTCTGCGCTCACTGAGCCCATCTGCTCCCACCCTCTCCCTTCCCTCCCACTCCTGCTGCTCCTCCTTTCTGCCCCCCTCCTCCTTTAAGGTAATAAACTAGAATATAAAAATCTGGGCTCTGGGCTACTTTGGTGTAAACATTTGTACTTTGACCACTTTTCTCCCAAAGGACGTGTGTCCCAGGTCAAACCATTGCAGATAAAAAGTACATTTAAAAACCTGCTCTGGATTTCTGGCACCCCTAAGACCCAGCCTGGTTCCACTCAAGTCAACTGCTCCAGGACGCTTGCCTGGGACATTTGGCTCCACAAGCATGCAGCCAGGATGCCAGTGCTTTGGGACAGGATCCCCCATCTATCTGTATCTGCCTGATAGAATTTTTAAAAATTTGATACCTGATTTCTTGACATTTTATTTATGTAAAACAGTTAATTCCTTAACAGTGTATTAATTCAGTAGTGGATTGCTTTGTGACCTTTCTTATTTTGTGACTTTCATCCTTAGTGCCTTATTCATGCCTATAAGCAATTAATTCTTTCAAGAAAAGTTTCTGAAGAATGTTTAAGGAAGATGGCTTGAAGGACTATTTTTACTGTAAAAATTCTTAGTAACTTTTATGTAGTTCCCAACAATAGCGTAACATTTGAGTATGGAAAACAAATCCTTAAAAATAAAAAATCTTACGGGGTTCAGGCCCAGAAAAAGTGCAAGATTGGGCAGTCGTGGTTCTCAGCCCTCGTCACCTCATGGCTTCCACTCAGAAGCCACCAGAGGGTGGCAACACCGAATTTTTAGTGACACTTTGAAAACAGTGTAGACAGTGTCAGTCTCAGGGAGCTGAACACACCCCACAGATCTCTGGAACCTGCCAGATGGATCACAGGGTCTGTGATGGGTAATGATATATTTTTTATTTACCGACTCTCTCACGATAGCCAGGGAGCTCAGGATACAGCTTATGTTCATTTCTATTACCTGTTTAAAAAAAAAAAGGAGTCAAGGGGAGATTGAGAACATATCTTAGTGAATGAAAACAAATGAAAGAAACTTTAAAGATGATACTCTGTAGATATAAGACAGCATTTTATGAATGAGAACAGACATTTCCACCAATCACAGCAGCTGAGCGTTTATCTCATGATATACAAGAGACTGAATGTGTTTCTCACCAATACCCATTACTTTTCCAGTTGATTCTAAAGGGTAACAGTGTTTCTTGATTTCTTAACGATTACATTTAAGAGTTACTTAAGGATAACATTTAATAGTTACTTAATCATAATTGTATTTAAATCATAGCAAAAGTATTTAAATTACAACAAAATTATTTACTTTGAGAGCCCATGTTGGGCTGCAGGGGTCTTGATGACTGCTGTGGTCTTGATGCTGGTTTTGGAGGTAATTCTTTAGCCTACAAGAAAAGAGAATAAATATTCCCATTTCTGAAACCTGTTTTTACTTAGAAGTATGTAAGGATCTCTGCTTCTCTTGAGTTTATGCAGCAAATTTTAATGCTATGCACTCATTAATGAGACACCTTACAAGCTCACACACACTCTTTGGGGTCCCCCTTACCAGGGCTGGATAACAAGAGGTGGATGTGGACAGATGAGGGCCCTTTCCCCCTCCTGAGGTTCCTCACCAGGCCCCGCCTGTCAAATGTGCTGTGGTGGGGAGTCACGGGGGCAGGCTGTGACTCCTCACACTCAACACTTCAGTTTTCATCCTGAACAGCCCGGAAGGGTATCATGGTATGATGGGAAGAAACTACACAAAGCCTCACTCAGTGCTCCCTGATCTGGGCGAGGGGGCAGGTGCTCAGGACACCTGCAATCATTATCTTTAGTATTACAGTGCCAGGGCCCAGCGAGAAACACAATCACGGAGGATGAACTGTCCTTCAAATCTGCATGGGTGAAACCCCAAGGTCACACAGCATTTCCCTGAGGACTTCAGGTGGGACGGAGCATTGTACAGGAGAGGTCAGAGAACCCCGTGCCCGCGAATGACCTTTTGCTGCTCACGGGCGGCTCTCCTCATGTTGATGCGCTGCCCCTCCTGCTCATACTTTTCGGTGAAGGAATCGAGAATTTCATAGAGATCTTCTGCCTGAGCAGGCCGTGGCACATCTCCAAACAAAATGTCATAGGCGCGGATGTCCTGACAGTAAAACCTAGTCACAGAAAGGTAAGAACTGGTCTATAATAGACAGGGGTCTTTCCTGGCATGCACACATACATGGTCACCCATGGACCGCACCTTCCTCGCCCTACACTTAAACACTATCTGCAGGCCTGAGCCACAGCCACTGCTGGTCCACTTCAAACCCAGTCCAACGCAGTGAGCACAAATGTCCTAGAGTGTGCCCTTCCTGCACTGAGACACACACTTTTTCACACACACTTGCACTGTCACATGGAAGTGCCTACAGAAATGCACACACGAGCACAGACATTTCCCTAGGTTTTTTTTTTCCCTTCTGCATTTCTTACAGAAATGGTACTACACATGGGACTTTGCAATTTCACTGCAATGTTTATTTTTATCAAAATTAAATAAGGATTTGCCTTCTATGTTTGGAAGCCCTGCGATTCATTAAGCAGTATATTTGTTTTAGTTTCTCCAGGATCGGCTGAACATCAGTGGGAAAGTCTGCTGGAGCCTAGAATCAGGAGTTTTGGAAAGCTTTCTCTGTTCCCTGCAGTCAATCACAGCAGTGGTGAAAACCTCACTCCTGGTTCTGCAGGGCGAAGTCTCCTGTGGGCCTTGGTTCTTCTCACTGCTACCATTTCCCAATTTCTAGTTTCTGCCTCACGTTACAAATGTGCTGTTGATTTGCCCAAGTCGTGGCTGTGACTTTTCCCCAGGTCACCATCCCTGGTGTAGTCCTGCAGCAACAGCCCCCACAGGCTGCTTGTGGAAGAGCCGGCTCCAGCCAGCCATGGTCCTCAGATCTCACAGGGGTGATTTCTAGGCCTGTTTTGGGAAAAGCACCCACAGGCCAATTTCCCTTCACCTTTTAGGATTCCTCCAGACAAAAAGCCAAACTGAGCTGAGCACAGGGCACAAACCTCCAGCACTCTGGGAGGCCGGGACAGATAGACTGGCAATTTGAGCCCACCCTGGGTAGCTCAGTGACACTGTCTCAAGTGAAAATATAGGGGAGCAGGATGTAGCTCAGTGCACAGGCCCTGAGTTCAACCTCCCCAGTCCAAAGGAGGAGAAGAAAAAGAACAGCAGCAAAAATCTGAAACTCAAACTGCATTTTAAATCAAAATTGGTCAGTATTTGATGCAGAAGAAAGACAGAGGCAGAGAGTAATAGTGCGAACACTCTCATGCTGTTTCCACAGACCCTCATGTTTCTCTCTGTGCCCTCTACAATGCTTGGAAGATATTCTTAATATGACATCTTCCACTAGCAGAGTGTCTCCTAGTCGATAACTTGTGATCTCAGAATAAGTGGGAAAAGACATCTGCAGTGAACATATATGGTGATTACAGTCATGTTTGGCAAAACGAAGGGAAACTAAGCTGAGGAAAACACTGGAATGTGAAAACATCAAAATGCGAATGATTTTAGTCTTAAGTAGTGTTTTGTCCTCGCTTTTTTCCCTAAATAGAATTCTATAAGTACATGTTATTTTTATCTTGAAATTTTATCACCAAATACACCCTACATACATGGCCACCTCTCTCTGTCTTTAGAAGCATGTGCAAATGCACCCCATCAATTCCGACAGCTGCCTGGAGTGGTGAGGGCCGGATCCTCTCACCTGGCCCTCAGGTCCCCCCAGGAAGTGGTGGGCACTTACTTCCGGTTGGTTTCCTTCCTCTCGATCAGGCAGCTCCCTTCCAAAGAGATGCCAGCGAAGAGCCCCCGGGACCGGCAGTAGGTGAAGACAGCTGCAGGACTCCTGAGGGCCACATTGCCTTCCAGGTTCCTGTCGAGGACAGAGGGGGGATCGTGCTGCAGAGGCTACCCTGCCAGGCTCTCCAAGGCCTCCGCACAGCCTGGAGGGGTTGCCCTGAGTTGTCTGAGCTGCAGCATGACCCTGGCCCAAGATTAAGATGAGAACTACACAGCCAGGCAGCATGATGACATCGGGGCAGCAGAGGCTGGAACTAAAGCAGGAGTTCCCAGGGGAGACCCCAGGAGAGCCGGATCTGTATTCGTCTGGCGTGGAGCATTTCTATGCCCCTGGAGCAGACCCCTCTGGACCATTTCACTCCTGTGAGGTGTCTACAGGACCGTCTTTCTATAAGGCTCAAAGAACCCTGCAGCCTGTCAGGCCTGGACCTGCAATCCTGGCCTGCAGAGGGCTGAGCTGCCTGGAGAGCTCAGCAAGACTCGGCTTCAGACTTTATTCCATCTCCATTTGGGGAGGGTTCTTCTTATTACTGATTTTCTTTTCTTTCCTTTTTTTGACAGGGACTTACTGTGTATATCAGGCTGGCCATGGTCTCACTCTGAAGACCAGGTTGGCCTCAAACTCTTCATGATCCTCCCGCCTCAGCCCCCTAAGAACTGAGATTATGGGCCTGTACCACCAACTCTGGCTTCTATCTCAAAAGTTAAAAAGAGCTGGGGATGTAGCTCAGAGGTAGAGCACTTTGCCTGGGATGTGTGAGGCCTTGAGTTTGAGCCCCAGCACTGTGGGAAGAAAAGAATAGCATTTCATTAACAGAGGAGAAAAATGCACTTTAAATTTGCAAAAAATAAGATACATCCACTTCACATTTTCATGATGTAGTGTGAAAAAATATTTTTCTTTCCTGATCAATCCTGACCTTTATCAGTTAAGAAAGTTTAACTCGCCTTGGCTCAGCCTGGATGCCTGCCCTAAGTTTTATGGTTAATTTCAATAGAAGCCACAGCTTATGTTTCTGAAACACTTTGCTGCTTCTTGTGTATTCTGGTTTCAGATTTTCCGGTTCATTCCTCAGGCTGTATTCTGTGAATTTTGTCTGTTGTGACCTCCAAACCTCTGGTGAAGCATTTTAATTCAAATTTCTGCTTAATGAAAAAAAAAAAAAAAAAAAAAAAACAAACCATAGTTTTCTAGGCTTTACTCTGACATCTACTCTGAAAATACTGCTTGCCAGCACTCACCTTCCCAGGGGCCCCACTGCCACAGTGAAGTTGCCCCCTAGGGTCAGGTTCCCGCCTTTTGCAAAGGCCTCCACAGCCTTGTCATAGTTCAGAATTATCACGAGATCTGAGACCTGAAAGAGAGAAACCGCTCATTGAAACACTTACAGCTAACAAAACCTATGCTGAGTAAAACTCAGATTTACCATGTGCAGCGCAGTGCAGTTTTTATGCTGACAGGGCATACATGTGAACCTGATATGACAGAAGACAGCATGGCAGACACTGTGACACTGCTGCTGGTCCCCCTATGACAATGCTGGATCCGGGGACCTGTGGGCTGGGAGGGACGCTAAGCCCCTGACACTTCGAACTGTCATGGCCAACTGACAAACACAGGAGGGGATCACAGTGCTCTCTGAGATCCCAAGACAAACTCTCCAGAAGCCAAACCCAGAGGCCCTGGTCTGAGGGTCATACGCCCATCACCAGGAAACGCAACCCTGGGTAACTTCCTATGGGTCAGAGAGGCTCAAAAGCCAGGTATGAACCGGGTTCCATCAGTAATACCCCACCAGAATTGATTTCCCACTAACTGAAAACAGAAGGCAGAGATTCAGCTGAGTGAGTACAGCTCAACAACATGCAAACGGCCCTGGTCTCTCAGGGGGCCGAGCCCAGAGCCAGAGCAGGGCTGGGTGTCCCTCCAGCTCCATGTGGCCAAGCCTTGACCTTTGATCTTCCACACTTTAAGACTCAAGAACTGTCCTGAGGGCTGTTGGTGACTTTGCCGTATGTCCCTGGAGACCCAAGGCCTCGGGCAGGTGCCGAACACTGTGGGCGGCACGCAAAGCCTTGGGTTCCTTCTCTGTAAGCTGAGCATGACCCAGAAACCAGCTCCATGAGGATTGGGGGGTGGGGACGGAAGTCACAGTGAGGCCTGGCCTGGTCACCGTGGTCCAGGAAGCACACAAAGACCAAGCTGGCCCTAAAGGACGCCTTTGCTGGAATCTTTCTTTCACTGCTCCTGATGTTTCCAAATCAATGTTCCCCCTCTTAGCTTACAGAGAAATCCTGTCCTTGCCATGCAGGATCACACTAGAGAATGCCCCCTGGCACTGGCGGTAGGAGCCTGCTGCTGTACGCACACCTGGCCTGGAGCCTGTCTGATGCTGCTCTCCTGTGTCAGGATGGGTTCTGAGAAGGTCATGGGAAGGGGTGCAGTGATGAGCATGTCCTGGGCACGGCTCACTGCTCAGCCAGTGTGCCATGGCCTGTACCTCAACTGCACCTCTACCGGCAGAGGGGTATGCAGGCACATCTTGGCCTCTTCCCTCGGGCACAGGTGAGTTCCCGCCACTCCCCAGCTGCCTGACTTGTGAGCTCCATCTGCTCAGCACATCTCAGAGCACTTGAGGCCAGCACAGCTCTGGGCAGTAACCAGCCAAGTGCTGATCCATTTGTCCCTGTTGGTCTCTTCTGACGCAAGGGTAAGGTGATCCTGGGTTCTTTGGTGACACCACTGATTAGCCCAAGAACCGGGTCGCACTCAGCAGCCCATGGGGCCACGTGAGTTCTCAGCTGTCAGCCTTGGACTGGAGCAGAACAGATTTCGGCAGCCCCTATGCCACTGAGGGCAAGGACATCACTGCAGAGTCCCAGGAAAGTGCTCAAGGGGTTTGCACCAAGACTGATTAACTAATGAGAATTGAGGTTTTCAACTGAATAAACTCTTACATGTAAGAATGAACAGCGACAGTCAGTAGAAGGGACAGGGCTGTTCTCAGGAGGGCCTCCGTGCTCCTGACACTGTTCTGGTCCGGGCAGGGGACACCTGGTTCGAGCCAGTGTCCGTGAGTCCTGATGGCCTAGGCCCCATGTGGACCCTGGTAAGAAAGCGGCTCCTCCTAGGTCTGGGAGCCTCTGTGTATGGGTCATAACCTTGTGTGGCTCAGCTACTATCACCAAGCCGCCCAGTGGTCCTGATGTCCTCATGGGACACTGACTTGAGGGGCATTGGACAGCATTCTGGTCTCCATGGTTCCCCAAGGAGAAAGATCCCATCCACATTCTCCCTAGGAAAAACAAAATCAATCTCTCTCTTTCGCTCTCTCTCTCTCTCTCTTTTGATTTCAGTGAATGAAAGCAACACTAATCAGAATTGGTAACCAAGTGTGAATTCAGGCTTTTGGTTAAAGAAAAAAAAGGATAAATACAAAGACAGGTCATCCATTAGGGATTTTAGTACTTTGAGCTTTGCTCTAATTGTCCAGAGAAGAAAATACTAACAGCATTTAAAGCAACCCTTAGTATAATTTCCGTAGACCACTGACTTTCACAGAATCACACTTCTTTACCAATCTTCCTCTCCTACCAAAATAACTTCCTTCCCAAGGTGATCCCTCCTGCAGGTGCAGGCCATTTGCTAATGCAGACAGCTCTAGGGCCAGACAGCCAGGGAGACTGGCTGAGCTCCTGCCCCTCAGAGCCTGAGGGCCAAACATGGTGGCTGAGGGTATGGCCCCAGCATTGGGTTCCAGCTGAGTTTAGGGCCCTGGCACCTACAGCCCAGGATGTGTCCACGGTGGCCGGGGGTAGGGCCCTCTGTCCTTAGTGTCATGCAAGGTGACACAGGCCAAAAGCAGCAGCTGCAGACCTGCTGTGGAGGCCCAAAAGTTGACAGCAAGAGCAGGCTGGGAACACAGCCTTGAGAGGTGGCAGATTGAGGACATAGCCTTGAGAGGTGGCCTCTCTTCTGTAGAAGGAGCCCAGCCCTGAGACTATGATAAGGAATACACAGGACCTCTGATAAAATGGTCCACAGAAACACCCACTTTGAGCCAGCCTGCAAACCCCACCTCGTCAGCTGACCAGGGCCTTGAAGCAGTGGGAAATCACCTGTATGTACTTGGTAGAAAAGGAATTCTGCTTCCCAGAGCAGAGCCAAAGAGCATCTCAGATCAGATCCCTGGCAAAAATCATTATAAGAAGCATTCACTACTTCTATACAGGCAGATGGCAGACGAAGAGAATGGAGACCCTTGCACTCTGAGGGCTCTGTGACATCTTGGCAGTGTGGGCAGAAACCGCTGTCCTCCGGGCCACCCCCGTGTCTGCCTGGTGCCAGGTCAGGGAGGCAGGGCTCCCAGGAGGGGCCCAGGCCAGATCTCCTTGTCCACAGTTGACTGTCATAAATGATCTATCTGTGGGAGGCTGGTGGATGCCCTCAGCCCAGCATTTCCAGGGTTGGAGCACTTGCCTAGCATGAACGAGGCCCCAGGTTCCACCCCTGGCACTGCCAATACGAAAGGGAAACAGGAACTTGAAAAAGTCCTGAGAAGAATTTTCAGAGTTATTTCCCATAACATTAGGAGGATAAGCTTTGTGATCAAGTTTCTGTGAATGCCAACCATAAACAACCGGAAATATAACATTTATGGTCCAAGGGAGCAAGGTACAGCTAGCTTGACAGCTGAGGTCATGGGGATGAGGGCGTGGGCCGGACGTGGGCTTTGGTGTCCACACCCACTGCTCGGCTGTTCACCTGGCTACAGGGTGCAGACAACTAGGCATGGTTTTATACCATTCACTTCAGAGCCTTCCACTCGACTGCCAGACGGTGGGGCTGCCTCCTACTCATTCCTATTATTAATGGCTAGATCCCATAATTTCCAAAGAGCCATTGTGGAAATTCTCATTTGTGACTTCTAGGCTATTGAGATCTAATAGGGCCCTTATTACCAGCATTTTCTAAATAAGTGTTATTTGTCAGAGAGCCCTTGGACTCACATACAGGCATTGCAGGGTTGTAAACCTGGTGTGGTGGTGCATGCCTGTAATCCCAGCACTTACTTGGGAGGGTGAGGCAGGAGGACTATCAAGGTTTTGAGGCCAACCTGGGCTACGTAGTGAGTTCAAGCCCAGCCTGAGCTACATATGAAGACCCTCTTTCAAAAACAAACAAACAAGAAAAACAAAATCAGATAGAGGATTGTGGAAAGAGATACCTGGAGGGCAGACCATGTGGAGACCAGGAAGAGAAAGGTCAGCACCTTCCAGGAATCGGTCATGCTAGGACTGGGAAGATCCGACCAACAAGCCAACAGCCAGAGTTTCTGTAAGCTGTGCAAGCCATGTGGGGTCCAGGAAGAGAAAAGTCAGACAGCATCTCCCATGAGCCTGCCATCTCATGGACTGAGAATCACCAACCTCCATTCCCTTGTAAGCAACCAGTTGGTTCAGAGGACAGGCTGAATTGACAACAACTGAGGTAGAAAAAGCAACTGACCACTTATCTTGCTTGATTGACTTTGCAGTCCTGGGGCTGGCAATCTGAGCAACTATAGGGAGGGTAATATTATACAATATAGCAAATGTGGGAGATTTCCTTCTATCTTGTTTTTGAAATCCAATATTGGTCTCACTGTTCTGTTTTGTTCTGATTAACTGCTTTGCTTTATTCAATGTTCTGTTTACATTACATGTTCTGATTTTATTCTATTTTGTTTTTGCTATATTGTTTGATTTTGCTATATCTGATGGAATGGACAACTATCGTGACGATAACAAGATATACTATGGTAACCATTGTTGTTTTTCTAGTATCCTAATTTGAAATTCTGTACCAGTTTCACTGCTTTGTTTTGATTTGATTTATTCTGTTTTACTTTGTTGGGTTTTATTATCTTCAAAATTAAAAAAAAAAAAAAAAAAAAAAGAGGTACCTGGAAGGCAGAGCAGGAAGTCTAGCATGGGATCTAGAGAAATAAGTGGGGCATACTAAAAACATGCCTTCTCACCGAGCCACCTGAGGCTCCCCAAGGCCTGGCTGATTTCATGCAATACACAAATGCAGTGCTGATGAGTACAACTGAAATCTTTTCCTGGAGCGGGGGAGACAGGGTAGAGGGTGGGCCAGGTCTCCTTAAATTGCCCGGACTGGCCTCAAACTCCCTATCTCCTGCCTCAGCCTCCCAAATGCTGGGACTACAGACAGGTACCTGCAGGCATAGTTTGAAACATTCTTTTTATAAACTACAGGTTTATGCAGCAATGAGTGGAGAAAGTCAGAGGAAGAAGGCAGACGAGCTGGCAGAAGTGCCTCTTCTTAACGGAGCTGCGGATATTAAAACTGCACACAATGGTAGTTAGAGAGGAAACAATGAAAACTGAGAAGGAAACGATTTACACACATTAGAAGACTTGATTTGTTTAGTGATAAAGCAGCAGGTGAGTGATGAGGAGCAGGGCGGGGTGACCTACATTACCAGGCCTGGCTAAGCAGGGAGAACCTGGGGTGTAATTTCCAGGCCACATAATCACAGCAGCTCACCAGGAGAGGAGTCACAAGCAGCAATGCCACGAAACTGATCTGTACCCAAAGAGTCTAAAGGATTTGAATGCCAGATGTCACAGAGCTGTCCTCTGCCATCACGGTAACAAGCATGCAGCCTGGGCCCCCAGCTCTGGTTTCCCCAGCAGCCCACCAGCACCCCACAGACTGCCAGTTATCCTTTGTTGGATGCTGGGGTGCATGTTATACAAATGTAATCAAGATGGAAGCAGATGGAAGGGTGAAAGAAACCCTCCTCTCAAAGACAGGGAAGGAATCAGAACCATTAGAAAGCAGAGGTCTGGGATGGGGCTCAGTGGCTGGGTGCTTGCATGGAGTGTGGGGGGCACTGGGTGCAATTCCAAGCATCAAAAATAAATAAATAAAAGGAAGACAGGAGACAGGAGAGCGAGAATGAAAACACAGAGGACCATTTCCATAGGCGTTGGAGGCCAAGCAGAACACTAGCAAAACCTCTTGATGTTCAGGTGTGGGGTTTTGGGCCCCATAGGGGCACAGTGGCTGTGGAGGGGTGCTCGGAGCCACTTACCTCGATTCCAACTTCAAATCCCCCACCGAGGCCAGCAATCCCGATGGCCGAGGGTGCAGACCACTCTGAGGAGAACGAACAGAAATGTGTTTTAACAGTGGGACGTCCTCAGTGTATGAATAGGAAGAAAAATGCTAAACTCTAAATGATTCTGCATCAATTGTGACACGTTGGTATTTTTTTTCCATATTTTAAAATATTCTTCAAAGAGACATAAAATCATTTGAAAGTCCAGGCTCTCTCATCATGAGTTTCAGACTCAGAAGCTGCTGCTCTTAGGCTTTCCCTATCCCTTGCTGGAGTAAGACAGCTGGCTCTCACCCACTAAACACACACAACATTTGATGCTTTCAACTCTTAATATTTTTATAATCTAGCAGCAGCTGTAGTCTTTGCTTACAGTCCTATTATAGCCATAAGAGATCAGAAGGATTCAAGACTTTGTTATCCACACTCTTAGGGGTTTCATCATACTCCATAGTTTCCGTGGTGAATTTCTGAGGTGAAACTGTTGGTGTCCTCCTACGCCCAGGAAAGCTGAGGACATGGGCTGTAAATTCAGGATCATTAAACTCCTGACAAGATGCATTTCTTTGTGCTTGGAAATGCAGTACGATAATTCCATGTGCCATAAAGTGGCACACTTTAGGATTACCACATGCATATTTTTCCTGATATAGAAAGTTATGTTAAACAAGTCTAGAAAAACATATTTTTCCTTCGGCGAGGGGGTGGTGGTAGGGGGAGTGACTGGCCAAACCCTGGTGCCCAGCGCCCTCTGGCCACCGGTGCTGCCTTGCTCTCACCCGCTCACGGCTCCCTGTGTGCTTGAGACTTCTGATGGCAGAAATCACCGTGTGATGGGCCCATCCCCCTTCATTTCTAGAGTTAGAAACTATCCTGTGCCCAGGATTTGCATCTGGGGTGGGAACCCAACTTGCTTTTTTGGACAAGCACTCCCCCTCAATCCCCATCCTGGGTGCAGCTGCTGCCCAACCCCGAAGGATGGGGGAGAAATTCAGCTTCTGCAAGGAGAAGGAAGGCTCATGGAGGTGACAGGAAGAGACCTGGGATGGACCAGTCCTCCAGCTTCTCAGCCAGTCACCAGTAGTTGGAAGCCAAGGCCCATACTGGGGGCCTTCACCCAACTCCCGGAGCCTCCTGCCAGTGACCTCTGGAAGGAGCCTCTGTGGGGCTGGTTTTGCCTGTGAATATTTTGTACAGTGTTCTGGAAGAGAATTATGTTTTCTATGTTGTATGTGTTAAAAACAGCTACTAACAGAGCAATGTGTTCCCTTCTAGGACAGAACAGCAAGTGTTAAGTTGTATAAAATCTCAGCTGATCATGACCCCGACATACGTTTTTTTTTTGGTACCTGGGATCAAATTCACGACTTCGAGTTTGCCAAGCAGGCACTTACGTCAATGAGCTAAACCCCCGGCCCCGACACACATTTAAATAATACTGAAAATGTTGGTTCCCAGGACTCCTGGCAAATATATTTTAATTTCTGAAAAATCAAGTAATGGATTTTGCCCTGGAAGGTGATCCTGCTCCCAGCATGGTTCTGCCAGGTCTTGGGGCAGGGAGTTTCAGATTCAGTCTCCCTCATAGACAGAGAACTCACAAGCAGGCACTGCTTTTCACATTCACTTCCCTAATCAGAAGGCAGGTGCCTTCCTTGGGTTCATGTCCAGCATGGAAGCGCCCACCTGTGTGGCCCATGCAGGGTGTGCTCCAGGAGGAGCAGCCAGTGCTCCAGGAAGCCTACACAGAGACGTAAGACAGAGTTGGGTCTGCCAGAGCCCGGCCCAGCGGTGACCCAAGGGGACGCTCCCCATCTTCCTCACCTCCTGACTCTGCTGCTTTGTCCCATGTAGTTGGTGTGACAAGGACCTGCCTGACCCCCCCATGACAGCATCCACGCTGGCAAAGGAACCATAGCCAGAGGGGATTCTCAGGGGCCCCACTTACTTCCATCTGGAAGGCGTGCCAGGACAATGCCGCTGCCTCCCCGCGCCGTCACCAGGAAGCCGGCTTTGATCACGGACAGAATAGCCAGGCCTTTGGCCTTGGCAATAACGTGGGCTACAGAAACAGACAGGAAACAAAGTATGACCACCAGGAAGCTGGTGGCAGGACTTGGATTTTAAAACCAGATGGCTAAAATGACCTTTCATTGATATGAGAGTTGGGATTCAAGAGTAGAGATGATGTGATTCTGCCACTTTAGAGATTTTTAAGTTTATAAAGTGATTTGCTATTGTATTTACCACTAGCTTCCTGAAAATACAGTTCAGTTCCTCAATCACTGGTTTAGTTACATTTCACAGAGCTTGTGTACATAACCACTAAATGCCATCCACAGCACACCAAGTTCATTTACGCAATCCCAGGGAACACCAGGGACATAGCTGCAAGGAATTTAATCTATTATCATCCTCGACAGGTGTTCTGTCGAGAAGATGAGGTCAGATACTGCACTGCACCACACCAAAAGCTTCTGTAGATACCTCCAGAAAACAAGGAATCTCTAAGATAATCACACCATTTCAAAATTTAAATCAGTGACAGGCTCAGGAATCACACACCCAAGAGCCTGGTAGGTTGACACACAGAACACTGGTGAAGCCACTTTTAAGAAAGATACAGAAATAAAGTGGCCTCCAAGAATGCCAGTCTATTAAGTGTGACTTATTCTTGTACCTTAAGAGGTTACAAATACATTGCAGACGATGGAAAGCAGGAGAGAAAACCTGCTTCACGAAGGTCTCAAGGTCTGGACATCTTATTCAGAAGGCTCTACAGGTTCTTCCTGTCCTAGTTGCCCTTGCTTTGATGGCAACATTGGAGTCCCAGTGAGACTAGGAAAGAAGAGCCTCTCCCTGTCCATCTTACACCCCACCCCCAGGTTGGCCTCTCACTGAGGTACAGGGAATCAACCCCTCCCCGCTCTCCCCACCAGCAGAACACAGAGAAAGGCGAGACACAGTTGTCCATGGAAGCCACACATGCTACCCCATCCGGACATCTCCCATGCTCGGGGACACTGTGTACCCATTGGTCAGCGTGCATGGCACTTTCCAACCCCGCTGTGCAGTATGGCTGCTGCCAATCCAGAGTTCCTGCTTGAATTTTCCTTAGACTTGAAGGCAGTGCCTCTAGAAGGTGCAACAAGCTCCCTGAGCCACTTTAAATGGGTTGCAGGGGTTCCCTCTCCCCACCTTGCCAGTCTGCACAGTGAGCAGTGGGCTGGCTCTAGGATGGCAGAACCAGCCAGATGCAGCAGCCATCATCAGCATTAGGATCAATGTCGTTATGCGGACAAAACTTTAAAATCACTTAAGTGTCTGGTAAATAACTTCAGAAACTCTGGTTTAGGAAAATCAAGTTATTTTTTTTTTTTTAAATGGAGGATGAAGTTGTCACTGAGGTTAAGAGGGAAACCATTCCGAGGCATTGCCTGAGCTCATGTGCGTAGGATCTAGCTTTTGTGAGATGTCTGAAGTCATTGGTGTGCTAACAGGTAGTGGTCTTCAGAGGCTCGGTTCCAGGCCAGGACACGGGCCTGGCATGATCACAGACAGACCTATGAGGAACATGTCATCATCACTGGTGTCCCATTCAGCAGGCTAAACCTAGGTCCTTTTTAATCCTCCAGGGGCTCCTGATATACAGCTGTCTCGGGAGTCACTGATCAACATTGTCTCAAACCAGAGCAGAGTCTGAGTATCCCGTAGAAGAAAAAATAAGAAAATGACCCAATTCTTGTTCAAAAAAAGGTGTAGCTTGCTGCCGGTGCTGATGTAACTGCATGGAAATGTGCTCTTTGAGGCTAAAACAAATTAGATGAGTTTGCGATGTGAAAATAAAACGTAAAGCTGTTTTTGGAGGTGTTTCTGAACAGAACTTGTCCACAGCGCTAATATGACAGGAATATAAGTGACAAGCAGTCTTTAATGACTTTTGCTTTGGTGAGGTAAACGTTAAAGTACGAAATAACAAAAGCAATATATCACATTCTGCACAAAACCATTCTGTGCTCCTCACTGGATCTTCCTGCTGCCCTTGTTATGGTGTGAGCATCAAACGGTGGAGACCAGCAGGTTCTGTCCCCTGTCCTTGGCAACATGCTCAAGGGAAGAGGCACCCAATGGGGATAGGGGCCTGGCTCGTGATGCTTCTTGGTGCTTTCTCGACAGTGCTGCCTGGAGTTTACCTGGTGGATCGTGTGCTCAGGACATCCTTGGACGGGATGCTCTTCACAGGACAATCAGAAGATGCTCTTCTTTACTCTTCATTTGCATTTGTTCACAATTAATGAGAAGACTCTGTTCCTGAGCCTTCATTTGCATATAGCAAGTAGCCAACCAAGTGTTTTTGACAGAAGAGTACATATAGGGCCAGAAGATTTATTTATATGAAAGAGAGATAACATTTTAGGTACAAAAAGGGATGGCTTTCCCTTATCCTTGGGCACTGGGAGCCCTTTTACCAGCCTGGACTCACCTGGAGGTGAATTTCTTTTCTGTCTTCAACAAATACACACCCTCTATGCCTTTTCAGTGTGTCTTGTTTGGGACTCCAAGGACCTAGGAAGAAGCCCTCAAGGACCCTCTACTTGGTAACAAGTAGCAGCTGATACCAAGTTCTCTGCCAGGTGTCCAGTAAAGTCACCTTTGACATGAAAACAGCACAAGTTGACTATTTCAGAACCCAGCCTAGTCAGCTGATGCAGGGCTATTTCCCCAGATTCTAACCTGGACAAAGGCCTGTCTGTTTCATCTTCTGAAGCACTGTATCCAACACTCTCTATTTCAGAAAAATCGGATGCATCAGACAAGTCTTCAGCCAACAAGTGTTTGAGAACACAGATTGAAAGGGTTTTGGCCCAGACAGGACTCTGTAGCCAGGAAAGCCTCAACCGGAACCAGGAAGCTCCTATCTCCCCCGCCCCTAGGAATTTACCTGTGATGCCATCTTCCCGCCCCTGAGAATTTACCTATGGCGCCAAACCCTGGACCAATGGGCTACCCATGCATCCCTAATGCCCCCTTAGGTTCCACCCCAAACCGAGGCTACTTACATACTCCTCCCCTCCCCATGTGTCCGCTAGAGAGATCACCGGACTCCAGCGGTGGAGGGTACCTGTCATCTCTCTCCATGTTCTCAGAATAAAGGCCTCTTTTTGTTTTATACTTCTCATCTTTTGGAAATACTTTTCATTTTTTGGAAATAATCCTATCACAGATGACATCACACATAGGAATGCTCCACTGTCTAGGAGTAGGCCTTTTCAGTGATCAAGAATTACTGTATTTTATAAGTGGAAATACCACTCTCACACACACAGAATGCTTAGGGAAAAAATGGAATGGGTCAAACGGAACAGTGTGTTTTTTGTTTCCAAAGACTGTGGCCATACTAGAGTCATGTAAAAATAACAATGCAAGCAAAACAATTCATGGCAAGCTTTGGCTGCAAAGTTAAAGCCTTCACCTGAGTTAACTCAGAGTAACCCTGAGGCTTCTAACACCACTCCTGAGCATTCTTGGGGATAAGATTTGTTTGTGAGACAAGCTGGTGAGTCTGCAGGATTCCCTTACACACAGCAAGAGTGATGAAAGGACAGGAGAACTGAGGCAAACTGTTTCGGAACAGGGCCAGGGCCCAGGGCCCAAGGCACCACAGGAGGCAGAGGCAGGAGGGTTGGCTCCTGCCCTCAGCTCTAACCTGCATGTGGCCCCGAGGGTGACTTGGGATGGAAGGGATGCCTGGATGGCTCTGAGGTAAGAGGCTGGCTATGTAGTAGCTCCATCTGCATGCTGATGCCAGCATCCAGCCTACTCTCACCTCCACCCCCACCCCTGCATCAGCTGCCTGCAGAGAAATCCTCAGGAATGCAGAAAGCAGCTTAGAAAACAAAAACAGGCAGCCCTTTACCTACCAGGGATGATCTTGTCAGGTCCATTTCTCGAAGTTATTTCTGTGAATTCTCTTAATATTTTAGCAGCCTTCTTTGCTTCTGACTTCAGATTCGAAGGTATAGGGTTATTCACTGAAAGATATTTTTCAAAAGACATTTTAACGAAAAAGTAAATAGAAGTTAGGATAGGAGGAAAATGTTCAAATGGGGAGGAACAAGAGAGAGGAGAGGGGGAAAGAAAGAAGGGAAAAGAGAAAAGCAGCTTTGTAAATGGGGAGGGGAGGGGGTTGAAAGGAGGGTAAGAGGAGGAAAATCAAGTTACAAATTCTCTATGATACATGTGATCATTACATATTTCTAAAATGTACCAATAAAATCTAATTTAAAAAGTTAGAAATTTACTGCCATTTCATTTTTCTCAGACACAATCTAGTAGTAATAAATTATAACCCACCAGACAAAACCAGAAAGTACTTGAAAGTCCTCAGTTATTGGCTATTTCATCATTATTTTCTGACAACATCCAATCTATTCAGGTTGGAAACATGAAACCCTCAAAATATCAGAAATCATAAAGTCATGGAGTCCTATAGGGATCATAAGCAAAACTGGTCCAGCCTCCCCATGATGTATCTGAAAGGGTTTTTGCCCAGGCCGGTACTGTAGCGGGTAAAGCCATGAAGCTCCTATCTCCCCCACCCTTAGAAATTGCCTTTGGCGCCAAACTAAGACCAATGGGCTACCTGTACATCCCTAATGCCCCCTTGGGTTCCACCCCAAGCCGAGGCTACTTATGTGCCTCACTCCATGTGTTCCACGGAGAGATTGCCGGCCCGGGGTACAGATGCCATGCCCCAGGGGGTCGGGGGTGTCTCTCCCCGCATTCCCAAAATAAAGGTTATTTATATTTCATACTTCTTATCTTTTCAGCAGCCGCCAGTCCTCCTCCTCCTTCCCCCCACAGTTCTGTCAGTATCTTCTCCTGGTAAGGAACTCACCTGAACACTAGTAAACAATCTAGAACATATAATATCCATTAAATACAAGCGGCTGTTCCCACTGGAGATGTCTGCGCTGGCTGCAGGCAGACTCATATAAGGGAAAGGATGAGACACCAGGAAGTGAGTGGTTACTATAGGAACACAAGCTGGCTGGATCCTGGGAGTGTTTTCCTCCTCCATAGCAGCTTTGTGGCCTGCTGGGGAAAGTGGGCTATTTCTCAGACAAGGAATCTGATCAGAAGAGCCTGGAAGGCCCAGAGGCTGTGATGTGGAACCTGGTGAGGACCACGGCTGGGGATTCACTTCTGAGTCCATCTAGTCACAGGTATGTTTTCCCATTTCTGCTCATTTCTGGTACAGTGTGAGGGCTGCTGGATGCTGGGACTGTCACCATGTTGAGGGTCTTGGTTCTGCTTCTCCATCCAGAGTGTGTGACAGACAGCACATGACACCTCCGAGGCTGCTGTCCCCTTGTGTGGAGCCCCAGGCCCTCTGCTTTGGCCTAGCTGTGCTCTTGAGACAGCACAGTGAGTGGCAGTGGGGCTTCCAGAAGGAGGTCCCCTTGAGCCCAGGGAGTGTGATCTACTTGGGGAAAGGGTCTCTGCCAGCATAATTCAGTTACAATCTTGATTACTCATCTGGGTCCTGATCCAGTGAGGAGCACCACAGCCCCACTGCAGGAGACAGAGGAGAAGGCACAGAGTGGGCAGCCCAGGCACAGCCACTTACATAAAGGGTCCCGGCAGACCCTGCGCTGGGAGGGGGAGCCAGCCGGAGCCACAGTTCCTGCTTATTCAAAATTAGGGGTCTTGTCTGGGTGGTAACCTGGAGAGACTGAAAACCTGACATTATTTTGTTGTCCCTGCTTTTATCTACAATGGTAAAAATGAAGAGTAGCGACAAACAAGAAAACTCTCAGAAGCATGTAATTTTCATAGCAGGAAGGAATTTTAAGAAAACCATTTAAATGATGCCAATTGCCTAATATCTTCTAGAATTTTCTTCTTAATGCTTTCATTATACAGTTTGAATCTAGAAGATCTTTGTATATGTTTTTATTTTGAGACAGGGTTATACTATGTACCTCAGGCTGGTCTTAAACTCATAACCCTCCTGCCTTAATCTCTGGGGTGCCAGGATTGCAAGCAGGCCATCACACCTAGCTAGATTCACAGGGTCTTAAAAATACTCTGAGTAAGGAACATCAGGCCTTTAAAATACTTTTTATGGAGGTGGGCTTTAGTGCTGATATTATAGGCAGCTAAGTTAGATAGAAATTAATCAATCGGAGAGAGATGGATCTCTCAAAGAGGTCAGCAGAAAAAGGCATCAGAATTCTGGTGAGGCGCATCTGTCAAAGGCCAAGCCTCAAAATAAAGAAGTAGTGATCAGACCTACACACCCCTACGGGATAAGCAGTATACTATAATTGGTATCACCTGGTCCGGTAAACGCCATACAGACATCAGCCACCAGCTAGATGACCAGAGCACCTGGACCCACCCTTTCCCCAAAATCCCTTTGCTCTTTCCACGTACCCTTGCTATGTGACCTGCTTCCCTACCGGATAAATATCAGCTAAGTGGCTATACTCATAATCTCATTGGCTGATTATAGTTTGGCCATGTTATACTGGCCTTGGGATTCTGCTCTACAAAATATTCTTAGAGAAGTGGCCTCAGGGACACCCACTTTCAGGTTTCTCCTGTTTCTTGGGACCTAACTCTAATAAATCTTTCCCACTGTTAACCTCTGTCTTTCCTTGGAATTCATTCTTTGATTTCTGGGGACACAGCATATCTGATATCCGGCAGGCTGGGAGATATATTTTCTCCCTATCAGTGATGTCAAGTAGTACACTAATGATGGAACACTGTTCATTTAGAAAGAATAGCAATCAAGAAAGAAAAAATAGTAAGGGATACTTCCAGGTTCCCGCTTACCAAGATCTTACTGTATTTGTACAGTTGACAGATTTTTTTTTTTAATCAGTACTGGGGATCGAACTCATGACCATGCGCTTGCAAGGCAGGCTCTTATGCCGCTGAGCTAAATCCCCAGCCCACAGTTGATAGATTTTGAAAACTTAGGTGGGGCTGGGCTTCTTTTCTGTTTTGATTGCTAAGTGGAAGACAAGACTGAGCTGGACCAAGGAGAATAGAACTAGAAAACTGCCTAATGCTAACTCGTGTTTATGAGGGGAATGTGTCGACTTTCTGTGTGGTACAGCTAGCTTTTCCTGTTTCCCTGCTTCTTGTAGGTACCCAAGGTGAGGACGCACAGCTAGTGCCATCAGCAGCATGTCTGCCTCTCTGTCATAGCATCACAGTGTGGGGCTGTCCCAGGCGGCAGCTGCCCGGGGGATCATGAGTCACTTCTGTGCCAAGACAGTGGCAATGTGGGGCATCTCCTTACCACCTTTCCTGCCACTTGCTGGGTAAAGAACCTTGCGGGCAGGGCCACAGTGGAAGGACAAGACCCTTTTCCCACATTAGGAGACAACCAACCAAAGACTGGGACTACACTAAGCAGGGAAACTCAAGGCCTTGCCAAAGAGCAAGCTATACCCTACGTCAGTGAGTATTAAAGTTTAAAGAAATATTTCTCAGCATTATTTGCCCAAGAAGAAAGAAGAGAAAGTATTCATAACTTTCATTTTTTACCTTAGGCCTAGATTTGATTAGGTTTTTTTTAATCTGCATTCTTATCAGTTTGGAGGTGGAAAAATGAATACAACAAATCAAATATGATTATCTTATATGTTAATATTTTACCCCTGATTCTATAGTACTCATAACATACTATTTGCAAGTCCTTCTAAAAAAGCTGAAACTTTGGCTTTGCTTTTCCCGAGTGTTGCAAGGATAACAGGATTATAGTCCTTGCCATTCCAAGTTCTCCCAGCACCACACACGCCATACTGCAGACTTACGTCCTGTACCTCCCTCCAGGACCCTGCTTCCCCTGCTCTGTCTGCCCAGAGTGGTGCTGATCTATCTATACCCACATGAGAGGTGTAACATGGACAGACTAGGTGGGGAGTCTGACATAAGGACGTTAATTATGGCAAAAGACCAGAGAAACGGTGTCACTGTTTCAGGCAGGACAGGCTTGGAAGCCTGAACCCCCACAGGACAGTGCAGCTCTAGTGGTATGGCCTGGGGGCTCCCATGCAGGTGGTCAGCACCAAGGCAGGTGAGTTTGGGCCCTGCTGAGCCAGGACCTGACATTTGCGGGGAGAGGTCCAAAGTCTGCCCAAAGTCTGAGAGCCTAATCCTTGATCTGTCATACAAGGTCCCCAAGCCTGTGCTGACTTTAAGGGCTCCTGTTTACCCTAGAGTTGTGTGGCCTGCACTCTGGAAGGGAGAGGCAGCAATTCAGAACTGGCCTGACAGGGCTGGCTGGCCTCCATCCAGGCCACCAGGTGCCACAGCCACCCTTGCTCCACCACTCAGATTAACTGAAAGGAAGACGTACTGTGTTTGCTGGAGAATTACTCTAAAGAAGGGCAGCGACAACTGACTTTGTGTTCTACTCAATGCAGACAGAGCTGAGCCTCTTGGTAGTGAGGCGGGCACTGCACCTACCTAGCCAGCAGATAGTGTAGGAAGCACTTGAGCAGTACAGTGGGCAGGCAGTGTGGTCCCTGCTTCCAGTCATAGAGGAAACTAAACCTAAGGCACAGATCTTTGGCTTTAATTGAAAAGTGGAGGGAAGCAGCAAAGGGCTGCAGCTCAGGTAGCACCCAATCCAGGGGTGCAAAGGTGGAAGCCAGCTTCCGATGGTTAGCCAGCGGGCAGGGGTCCAGTGTCCCAGCTCTGCAGTCCTCATCACTGAGGGTGGTCTCCTTTCCAGGAAAGGACTGTATATGGGTGTCTTCCTCAGGTGGGCTCCATTTTTCCTGGGATCTCAGAGGACACGGGTTCAGGACAATGACTGGGACTTTAGGGTACAGCTGAAGGTCCTTGGAAATCCCCTATCCTGATGTCCCCAGTCTTAGAAGGGGTTGAGATTATATACATTTAGTGTTAATCAACTTTGTTTTGTCAATCCCTACAATGAGACTCCCTAAATGATTAACATATCCATATGCAGAGCTCAAATGGGATTCGACTCAATAGTATAAGGTAAGCAAGGATAAAAAAATGGTCAAGCTCTGGTCTGCTTTTAGTTACCCATTGGGCATCTGTAGACCCAAGTGAAGAGTCACAGTTCATAGCAAAAATGGCTTTTAACGCCCTATCTCAGAAAAAACATGCTTTTAATGAGCAGCAGGTGTTGTAGTCAGGGATTACAAGGAGACCAATTACATTACAGGACACATCATTTATAGCATTATTTTACAAAAGGTCACCCAAAAAATAAAACACAAAAGAAAGAGTTCAGGAAATCTGTCCACACACTAAGACCCAAAGAATCCAGATGAAGGCTGGGAGCCCATGCCAACATCCTGCATGAGTCCATCTGAGGACCTAGAGCCCATAACAATGACTCATGCAAGTTTGTTTCAAGGATCTGCACCGGGAAGGCCTAAAAGCCAGTGACCGAAGCTAGAAAGTCTGTGTCAGTGGGGTGAAGGATCTGTGCCAGCAGGCTGAGGAATCTGTACTGGAGCTAGGAAGCAAAGCTCAAAGTTAGAACCAAAGCTCCCCTGAAAAGTACCAGTCATCCTCAGTGACAACAAGATCCCAAGGGTGACGATGAGAACAACCAACTTCATATTAGGAAGCCAGCATGACGAGCTTCTCCTGGAGAATGAATACCACACACCTTCCCCTCTAGAGCCAGGAAGTGATGCTCAAAGTAAGGACCAGAGCTCCCCCAAAGTGAACCACAGCCATTCTCAGTGACAACAAGGTCTGAAGCTCCTCTGATGACAAGAACAGCCAAGTTTATATCAGGAAAGAAGCTCAGCTAGCTCCTCCTCGTGAACCCATGACAACAGGAAAACCAAGACCACCAAACGACAACCTTTTCTCCAGGTCTCCTTTTATGCTGGCAGCAGTCTTCAGTTGGACCATCCACACTCAGCACCATGCTGATTCAGGTAGACTGGTATTGTTGACCACCAGTTTTTAATCCACCACAGTAGGTGAGGACCCAGGAATCTGCCTGTCTCCCGTCATATGGTAGTCCCTGACTATGTAGTAACTGTGTCAGAACCATACTTTGGTTTGGGTGATACAACCGATCATGGAAGTTTATCCTTTCTCTTGTTAAAGGAGTGCCAACACAAAAATCCTAAACTTCCCTTCTGGCCTGTAAGGTCTGTATGTGTGGCATCTGACCCTTTGCAGATAAAGATGTGACCTTTTAACCTGCCCAACTGTGACCCACCCTTAGTACCACAGGACAGATCTACAGGTCCTGCAGGTAACCCCCACTGGGGGACCATTCCAGAAGTGTGCTGGCCGGCCCTAGGTGACCTAGGGCCCCCCTCTGCCTCCAGGGCTGAGCTTCCACCCAGCTGCACCCAAATTGGCCACCCAGAAGCCTGGAAAACAACCTACTTCTGGTGTAAGCAGAAGAGGGAGACACTTCATTATTAATAACCTCCAAAATCTAGCACCACTCTGGGTGTCACAGGTGTTGCCTGGTCCTCAGGGCCATCCCTCCTCTTCGACTGTGTCTCAGATACCCGCCTCTGCTCCTAGAGCTTGGGGGCACCCCAGCCTTCTGCTGTGTTTACTATCCTAAACATCCCTTGCTTCCAAGCTGGGCAATCTCAGAAAACAGGATTTCATCACCTGACCCTCTATGTTTCACCATGTTGAGATGCTGAGCCTGCACCTTGGGCCAAATCACTACCACGTGTGCACAAGTATGTGTGGGTGTTCACAGGTGGGGTGCAGTGCACATGTTGGTGTGTGTGCACAAGCACAGGATTTGCATGTAAGTGTGGTGTGTGCACCAGCATGCATGCATGTGTGGTGTGCATGTGGGGGGATGTATGCTAATATTTCCAACACACACAAGAATGCTGGATGTGCAGTAAGGGTTCAGTAAATATTTGTTACATGGATGAAGCATCTGTGTTGCATGGGGAATGAAAGGTTGAAACCTTGTGATGACTGGTTCACATGGTGGATTTAAGGGGAAAATGGGCTGAGGAATGGCAAAGTTTCCAGCTCCCCAGACTCTGAGAGAGGCCAGAGCTGAGGAGTGGCACAGCCCCAGCAGGGAGCACTGTGGTCCCTACCTTACATGTGTGCTGGATGAGGAGGCTGGGCTTCAGGGCATCTGCACCCCATAAGCTTCATGCAGCCTAGGAGGCACCCAGAACTCCAATGCTATGTATAGAAAGAACCCTGCTATTGTGCAGGGCCAGATATCAGATCTTCAAAAGCCACAGAATCACTTGGTATCCTTTGGTTTGATGACTATGAGAACAGGCTAAGCTCATCCCGGTGGGCACAGTAGTAGGCACCTGTGTCAACCCACCCCCTTCCAGGGCGGGAGGGGTCAAGCTTCACAGAAACAAGGGCTCAGGGACAGTTGGTGTATTTCTGCCATTGAGGTTTGTGATCCTGAGACAGAGGTCAGAGGATTCCAGGACAAAGGGCAGGAGTTCTCCTGGGCCTTAACTCAAGACCTGAGACCGATGAAGCTATGGTGAGTATCCCTTCCTCCCTCACTTTCGGACCAAAATCCAGAACCTCACTGAAACCAGTATTGCCCACAGTGTTTCCAGTAAACCAGATGAGAAGATGAAACTTGGGGATCATCACTGAGGGACTCCTGGGCCCTGGACCTGTTATTCATTAAAATCTAATAGTAAATGTTTTTCTGAGACAGTCAGGGACTTACAGCTGATTTTGCTAAAAACAGCGACTCTGCTCTTGTGCCCAGATGCCCAAGGGATAACTAAGCAGGATAAACTTGGCATCTCTGCATGCAGGGAGCCTAAATGTGCCAATAGAAGGTTTAATAGCCCTAAATTTAACTAACATATCTCATCCTTTTTTAAGATGGACACCAAGAGGCTTTACAAGATTGTTCAAATACCAGCTTTCACTCCTTAAAAAATGTCTCCAGTCATTGTCTTGAGCTTGCAGTCACCCTGGATTTCTGCAAAACCAAGGTCTTGAGGGCTCCAAATAAAAGCAAATTGCTCCAGGGAACCAAAGTGCCCCTTGAGTCATTAGGGGTCTCTTTGGAGCTGCAAAACTGGACTGAGAACGTGATCAACTTGACCCCTGCCTACCTCATCAGCCCTTCAAAAGCCATGCCTGGTCCTTTGCTATGGGCAGTCTGCTCTTCATCAGGGTTGGGACCCTTAGCTCCCCAAGCTGACCTCCCTTCCTTTTCTTTTATTTTCCAGTGAAGCTGCTGCTGATGCCTCACTTTTAATTTCCATTACCATGGAAACAGAGAACCGATATGCTCCTCTATCTTTTTTTCTTTCTTCCCTGGCACCGATCCCTTCCACCGTAAGCCATGTACCCTTCTAAGCCAGAACTGTGCTTTTCACTCGTCACCATGTCCCAGACCACCTGGCTCAAAGATTCTGGAGTATGCTGAGCTGGGTCACATGGCTGCAGTGGAAATGTGTTTACTGTGCCGCTGAGTATCCAGGCTATTTAGGAAGCACTGTGCTCGTAGCACCCGGAATGGGGGTAGGCTGACCCTTCTGTGATACTGGCAGAGCCTCATGACACTTGGCTACAAGATTTGTCTCCACAGGGGAGTCTGAGAGTACGAGTGTCAGTCAGCAGAGCATTAGACAGGGCAGAGAGAGAAACAGCACTTTGGGGTCATCCTAAACTTAGACTAGCCCTGGCTTCAAATTCCTCCCGGGGCTGGGGATTTAGCTCAGTGGCATAAGTGCCTGCCTTGTAAGCAGGCAGTCGTGAGTTCAATCCCTGGTACTGATAAAAACAAAAAAGACAAAAAAAAATTTCTCCCATTGAGAATATCCTTGTCCATTAAAGCCACTTTCGAACAGATTTTCTGACACACACAACTGAAACAGAGTACACAAGACAGAGATGGTATCCACAAAGACTTTCCATTTAGAACTTTCTCAGCTGAGTCACATTAGACCAGTCACACAAGAAAATTCTACAGTTAAGAGTTGTTGGGCAAACAGGCTGACCAGGGGAAGGTCACAGCTGAGATGCCAACTGTGTGGGAAAGCTCCTGGCTCATGTACCTGTGGACTAGAGCTTCCCAGCTGCCAGTGCCACCTCTCGGACGGTGGCTGCTGAGAAGCCCAGTCAGGGTGAGGTGAACTCCAGGGAGCAGCAGGGATGCTATCAAACTTCCCATACCTGCTCACAGTTCCACACGGCAGGTTTGTCAGAACAAAAACAGATGAAAAAGTGAGAAATAAGCCTGACAACCTGTCCTTGGCATCCAATCACTACTCACCCACTTTTCCAATACTGTGCCACAAGGGGTACAGAGCACAGCCCCCCAGGGGTGCAGTCACATCCTTTAACTTCATGTCACTCATGGAGTCTAAACTGTCTTGCATTCTGAGCAAATTCCTGAAAGCAAATTGTCGATAAATATTCAAATCTCTTCCTAGAAGAAAGCTGTCTACCAAACCTCAAGCTAAGAAGTTCACATGTATTGCTTTAAAAGCAATTAAAATATTTGAAATTTATTACATGTATACTAAAACTTTCCTTAAAAATTAAGAACAGTTTCTAAAATACTGGGAAGAATTTTTCCCCCTCTTTTTTTTCTTCTTCTTCCTTTTTTTTTTTTTGTAATGAGGATCGAACTCATGACTTCGTGTTTGCCTAGCAGGCACTTAATGCTGCTGAGCTAAACCCCCAGCCTTTCCGTGTCTTTTTGAGACAGGATCCCACTGTGTAGTTCAGGGAGGCCTTAAACTCACTATATAGCCCATGATGGCCTCAAACTTGCAGTGATTCTCCTACTTCAGCCTCTAGAGTGCTGGAATGACAGGCATGCACCACTGCGCCCTGTGTATGCAAAGAAATCTTACAAGGAATTGCCAGCAGGTAAGAACACTGATCTGCAGGATGTGGGCAGTCTCCATGTCCACCAAGCTCAGAAGCAATGCCCATCAATCAGGCGGTCCCCTTCTACCTTCACTGAGTTAAGTATACTGAAACTTTCCTTCCATTAATAAGCATTCATTATATGGTTTTCTTTAACAGGTGCTAAACTATGAAAGGGGTATCTAAAGGAAAAGTAAGCTTAGAAATGATTTTCCAAAGCTCCGTTAATCACTGTTGCATTTTACAATTTGCAGGAAATGGAGGTTACTTTGCTAAAATGACAAAATCCCATCCAAGATCAAAGGCAGTAGAATGCTGAAGATACACCGTATTTAGAACAAGTTGATTAAATTTTCACCAAAGCAAAAGAAACTTCATTGAACATATCGAGAGACTAGGAAAGGTACCTTTCTCAATAAGCACAGTTTTGAAAACTGCTGCCTGACAGCTACTGGCTCTGTTGCTCAGAGAACATCGGTCCACTTCCTTTGTTTTAAGAAGTCAGAGCCAGTGTCCTTGGTCACATCACTAATCTGCTACACTGAAACTGCCAACCACACTGGCCCTCTGAACACTAACCTTTCTGTGGTCTGTACCTTCACTACAGGCTGATACCTGCTCCCTAGTCTCCCCAGCTCAGGTGAGATCTTGTCTCAGGGTAGGACCACACAGGTCACTCTGGTCCAAACATCTAAAAACAGACTATCCTGGAGGATAGATCTTGAATGGTTTTAGGGCTACATCTTCTCATGATGCCATTGCAAATAAGCTAACAACCACCATCTAGCAGCCACAGGGCACAACAGTTTCACTCTATCAGCTTTAAAAAAAAAATTTCAGTACCAAATCCTTATTTCCAAATAGTGAGACATCTCCTGGGAAGAAAGATTTCCTAAACAGAATTAAAGTACCAAATCATTCTGGACAAGCAGAGTGGCAGTATGAATTCATCTTAGAGAAATTTTATTTAAACTCAGCATTGGTGAATTCATAACCAATTCTCTTCAAAACTCGATACAAACAGGATGAAGGTTCTCACTCGTGATTACTTTAACCACCAACACAGCAACTCACAAACAATCCTACACTGCTTAGGAATTTCAATAACAGGCCAGCCAGGTGGCTAAACAGCACTTTAACCAGAGACCTGTTATTCTCAGAACTCTTGTGTGCAGATTTCCAGAGTAACTCATGATTAATCCAAACATTTCCTCTCCTCACTGAAACACCTAGGTGAGCAAGAATTCAGGACAGGTAAGCTGTGTAAGCAAAGGACGGTCTGCCTGCTCTCCTGGACAGGCTATTTTTGGCCACTCACCCTTTGCTGATAGGTTGGCCCTTTTCAGTCATCCAGCTGCGCTGGAGCAGGGGCCGTGGCCACACTCAAATATTTGTTGAAAGAAAGTAAAACTGACATATTTTCAGCCAGCAAGAAAATCCCATTTCCCCACTGTTAATAATCAATGCAACCAATGCAGAACACTTTCAAACTTTAAGACAGAATAACCATCCCATCATCGCGACAAAAGAGGCCAGGCAGGTGGAATCCCTGCCGGGGTTGCGGTCTAAACGTGAGCCTTTCGGGCTTTGCAGCGAAGGTGTCGCCCCTGCCCACGTGAACGCCACGGATCACAACGCGGCGACCTGAGAACAGAGTTCAAAGAATCGCTGCTTTTAGAAAACATAAAATGAATTTCAACTCTGGAAATTCGAAACGCAGGAGTTTTCCTAACAAGGTGTTGGGGTCCGGTCCGGAAACTGTCAGTTTCCGATTCTGATATAAAGAGAAGCGACCAGGTGGGCGCGATCGTGTCCCCGGCCCTGCTGGCCTCTTCGAGGGGCCCGCAACCCGGACCGCCCCTGCCACGATCCAGATACTCACTCGCACCCAACCGCTCCGCGCCGCCGCCGCACACCTGCCAGGAAGTGGAAGGACGGCTTCGGGCCCGCCTCCCGGGGCGGGGCGCCGGCCAGCCGCGCACCTGACCAGGTGAGCAGCAGTTGTCCCCTCAGGTGCTGCCCCAGGCAGACACCGGCCCTGCGCATCTTCCAGAACGCGACCTCCTTGTCCCTACTCCGGCGTCCCAAACACCCGATCTCCTAAGTCGAGAAAGCCCGCTCGCCCCCCGGCATCGCGCCCAGTAGACTGTGCCCGGTAGACTCTAGAGCCTACGCATCCGGGCCGCGGCGGGTAGAGCAGGTGGGGTCCTATGGCCTGGCTCCAGGGGCTCACGAACCCGCCCTCTGGCCACGCCCCTAAGAGGTGGGGCTGGTGCGAAGACACGCCTCCCTGTGATTAGCCACGCCCTCCAACTCTGCCCTCCTTGACCCCACCCTGCTTTAGGATAGGAGACTGGGAACCCGTCTCCTATCCTATCTTGTCTGATGTGAAATGAGTCAAGACCCCGACCCTTCAGGCCTCTCCCCGCTCTTCAAATGATTGACATCTCTATTCCTCCAAGCTTTCAACTACTCGGGGCCCTGCCTCCCGCGGGCATGAGACCGCAAACTGCGCAGGCGCTGAGGTGGGAGGCTCTCAATGCGCATGTGTTGCGTCAGGGCGCGCACCGACGTGGTCAGTGGGCGCCAGGGACTGAGCGGGAACATGGCTGAACGCGGGCTGAAGTCGGTGCTGTTCGTGTGTCTAGGTAAGGGGATTCTGAGCTGACTTCCCCCGGTCGTTGATCTGGACCCCCATTCGCTCTGGGCTGTGCTGCTAGTCAGAAACAGGAGGAGGCTGGGGCACGAGACTTTGGATGGGCCTTGCGCCCGGGTCGCTCTTCTCTTGTCTTCCCGTGAGCTTGTGTCCCTGTCACCTAACATCCCTCCCCCTGGCCAATGTGCCCTTCCCCTGCCATCCGCCTCCGGATCTGTGTCTCCCTCCCCTAACGCCCACCCGCTGTCCCAGCCGGGTCCTTTCATTGTACCCGCTGGTGTCCCTGCCTGTCCTCCACTATGCCCACTTGAACCCAAGACCGCGGGGTCGATATTGTCTGTTCAGGCTTCCACTTCTGAGCCAGTAACCGCACTGGTGTGCTCGCTACTGTCGTTGGTCGCAGGTAGCAGGGCGTCTCAGCTAACGGGAGGTGGAGTACTCCCTTCAGGTTCTTGGTTCTCCGCGTCTCTTGGTAACCTTCATTTCCAGCCCGCGTGCCAATTTCTCATTTTCTGCACTTGAAAAATGAATTTAAAAACTAGTAATCATATATTCTTTCTCAGAATAATTTTTAATCGTAGAATTTGGACACTTCGTTCACCCTTCCTAATGGTAGAATCCACTGTTTGTGCAGTTTATAGAGCTTATCCTCAGTTCTCCCTTTAGGGGAGAAAACAAAATTATCATTGATCCAATTGTTTAGTCTTCTGCTGAGTTTGCATTTCCTACGGAGTGAAAGATTTTACTTCTGTTGGGATGGAACTCTCCCCGTCCCTTCCGTACCTTTTTCCACCCATGTATGAGTGCTGCCTTCCCGATCCTCTTGTTGGCACACAGGAGAGAGGCTTACTGCACCTCACCTTTGTGGCAGCTTTTACTGGATATCCATAATGGATTGTACTTCATAAAAATCAAACCCAGAGACTCCCTTCTTGACTTTTCCAGACCGTAGTTGCTTCCTTTGACCTCTGCAGAAAATACTTTATTCCATAATATGACAAGCTGCTGAGATTCCAGTGAGATTTAACTTTGCTGTAGGTAATAATAGTGACTTCCTTGTCGTTTTTTTTTTTAATCTTCAAGATAATAGTATATGATGCTTACTAGGTGTTTGTTGAAGTTGATGTATGAGGAGGAAAAAGTGCAAGGCTTGTCTTACTTTGTGTTGATAGTGGGTATCGTGATTTTTAAGGTTTTGGTTGAAGCTAACTGGTGCAGTCAGCACACTTACAACATTCATTTCAGGTCTAATGTCCCACTGAAGTGTTTTGTTTTTGCTTAATATTGTTGATTATACTAACATGAACCACACTGGTTGTTTCTGGGGAAATGTATGTTTGTATGTATTTGTCTTCAATACAGTTCATTTTTTTTTTTTAAGCACCTACTTTGTGGCAGGCACTGGGAATATATAGAGTAGTGAACTCCAGGGACAAAGCTCCAGCCTTTCTGGAGCACGTCTAGAATAGTGCCCAGTGTGTGAGTTCAGCTGGTGTGAAGCGTGGGAAATGAGACAGAGTGGGATATGTGGTGAGGAACGCTCTGCCCAAAGGTGACCTTTGAGCACAGACATGGAAGGAGTCAGTAGGGAAGCCATTTTCAGGCCATAGGACTGTGTGTTCTAGAACAGGGAAGCCATGTGGGTGTGCTGAGACCAGGCATTCTCTGTTCCTGAGAGCTTAACAGATGAGTTGAGTGACTATTTCTCCAGCTACCATGGAAACCTAACCAGTGACATTCTGAATGTGAGGGGAGAAGGTGATTTCTTGCACTCCTGCTGGGATCTGCAAAACTAAAGAACCAGAGTGAATACTTAACCATGAGTGGTGGCATACACTTAGGACTGCAGGATTTAGGAGGCTGAGGCAGGAAGATCGCTGAGTTTGAGACCGCCCTGAGCTACACAGTAAGTTTAAGGCCAGTCTGACATATATACTGAGACTCTTGTCTCCAAAACAAGCAAACCAGAGTGAATACTTAGCTTTGTGAACAAAACCAATACTATAGCGCCAGATAGCACATAAATGATGGTGCTTGGGTGTGTTCCTGGAGAACTTTGTCCATAGACAGCACATCTATGTAACATTGCTATATCACACAATTTTCTGTTTTTGCTCAGTTTTCAACTGTTTAAAACCATTTTCAACTATTTAAAAAATTATTCTGAGCTCTTTGAGCTATGCACAAAAACAGTGGCTGAAGAACTTTAATTTTGGGGCCCCTGTTCCAGGTGCCAATCTTGAGAGTCCATGTGAGAATAGGCTTCTCTGAGATAAGCCCTTGCAGGTTTATGGCAGAGTGAGGAAGGGATGCCATTGATTCCAGCTGTGGTGTTGAGATTAGTGCATAGGAGTTGCTGCTCTAGAGGAGAGCTCAGAGAAGTGTGGGTGCTTTTTCTGTGGTAGTCCACCTAGAGGACAGTTGGAGCTGTATGTTTTGAAATGTAAACGTTTTGTTCCTTTGGAACATTCCTTTCGATTTGGAGACAGACTCAAAGAGAAGCACCAGAGGTTTGTCAGTGGCTTGGACACTGGACAAAGACAAACATTATGAAAAGAGCCTTTTGCTCCTGAAGGAGGCCACTCTGACCTGGCTGGCCTGACTCTGAGGGAGCTGTGGTGACATCTGCAGTCTGGTTTTGATAAATAGATTGGCAACACTTCTGGTATCTGCGCAGCTGAAGTACAGTTGCTGAACTTGAGTTTGGATGACTGTCTTCCAGGTTCATCCTGCTCCACAGTGTTGGCCTTTATTTTTCCCAGGGAAGACACAGCCATCACTGGTCAGGTGTATGAGGCGGCCCAGATTTTTCATGCCGTGAGTCAGCTCTGCACAGCTAACAGTCTATGTGCCCTCTCCCTTCTCTTTAAGGTAACATTTGCCGGTCACCCATTGCAGAAGCAGTTTTCAGAAAACTTGTTACTGATCAAAACATTTCAGATAACGTAAGTACTATTCACTACATTTAAGAGGCTGCCTCACACTTCTTTGGGCAGGAAAGTGCCGGAAAAACCCTCTCTTTCTTCTCCTGCAGTGGAGGATAGACAGTGCAGCCACATCTACGTATGAAGTGGGAAACCCCCCTGACTATCGAGGGCAGAGTTGCATGAAGAAGCATGGCATCCCCATGAATCACATAGCCCGGCAGGTACCGTATGGAGTTGATCTGTGTTTTTTGTTGCAGTGGGCCATTGACAGTGGAGCTGTTTCCGACTGGAACGTGGGCCGGGCTCCGGACCCAAGAGCTGTGAGCTGCCTAAGAAATCATGGCATTAGCACAGCCCATAAGGCAAGACAGGTAGAAGAGACCTTCATTTCTACTACTTAGAGTCCCATAATCTGAGAGGCCGTGAGAGACTGATCCAGCCTATGTGCTTATTGGGGGAACTAACTACCTACATGTGCAGTTCTGAAAGACTTGCTAAAATTACATAATTCACAGTGAAATGCAGGCCAGAAGCTGGACCAACCTTGGTTTCCATTCTGTTACAAATTGTTAGACATTTAGGCATGATGACTCCTCAAATGTGTTGCTGGAAGAGAGTCACACTGTATATTCAAAAAAATCTTGGCAATTGCGGAAAGCCTTAGAAATATAGGGTAGTACTGGAGATATTATGGACAACTAATTACAGTTATGCCATTCTCACCCTTGACATCTGCTGGAGCGGTGACAAACCCTTCAGTTTCCAATGAAGGTTCCTTTGAATTTGTGTTAAATGTTGTGTGCTACAATTGTGTTTCTGATGGTTCTTCGTTTAAATGAAGCATTTGAGAACTTGACCAGTTTTTAAGTGGAATTTTCATTGGGTACAAGATTAAAGATTTCTTTTTTTTTTCTTTTAGTTTGTTTCTTTTTTTTCTCCTTGAAATAAAATGGACTTGAAAGAGAAAAAAAAAATGATTAATGGTTTTTGAGGCCCAGAGGTTTTGCTGGGCCAGAAGTTTTTAGCTCAGTGGCACAAGCACCTGCCTGGCAAGTGTGAGGTTGTGAGTTTGACTCCCAGTAGCAAAAAAATAAATAAAATTAAAGATTTTTGAACTGTTGACTCATTTAGATCTCAGGCTCGTGCATATAGTGCTGTTTTTGCGTAAGAGATATAAATTTGTTTTTCCTAACACTTCAGAATTATGAGTCATCTGACTTTCAGGTTGAATTCTAAATGTTTGTGGAGATTGATAGTGTTTCTGCCTCAGTTGTTTAAAGAAGTTTATCTGGCCAGTTGTCTTGTTGTTCCTTTGAAACTACCCCCATTATCTGGCTACCTGGTCTTTGGTGTGTTCAGTGTCAGCTTCATGGTGACACGGTGAGAGGCCATATTGGCCTCCTGAACTGTGACCTGATGATTTTCATCAGCTTTGGAAAATTCTGGGCTGTTTTTACTTTATGCTTGTCTGTCTTTCTTCTGAGAGCAATTTCTGTGTATATTGAACATAAATTTCTCAGGCTCTTTTCTGCTTTTTATTCTGGCCTGGTCTGTGACTTACTGCTGCCCCAAGTTCTGATATACTGATCCTTCTCCTGTTTTCAGGGTCTGTGAAAATGTTCTCTGATTTCTTAGTTTGATTTTTTTTTTCTTTTTTGTAGGTGTAATTTTCTAGTGAAACTCATCCCCTTTGGTCTGTTTCCACACGATCTTACAGTATGTGTGGTCTTTTGTGAGTCTGCCTTTTCTTCACTGCTATCTGTTGCTTGCTCTGCTCTGGGCTTGAGGTGAGACACACACCTTGGTGTGTGACTTCCTTGAGACTTGGATGACTGTGTTTGCTCTTGAACTGGCTCATTGCTCAAGGGGCCAGGTCGGGTTGCTGGCTGTACGGTTAGGCGTGCTGACTCAGGGCTGGGTGCAGCCCCTGGGAGTCCTAATCTGCCCCGTTTGCCCTCTCTGTGTGCTGAGAGCTGAGGTTTGCAGGGGACAGGATGCCTTTTGAGCTTCTTGACCTGGGTGGCAGTGGACCTGGTTGAGGGATGAAGAGAAAGTGCGTGGGGTGTCCTTCTTCGGGACAAGTGTCCCTCCAGGGCTGCCTGTCCTATCACCCTCTAAGCCTGCTGCAAGTCAGTTGGTGTCGGGCTTTTCCTTGTGGTCTTCTGCCCAGGTCTCCACCCAAGCAGGCTGCCATCACCTTGATGCTCATGGCATTTGGGTCCTGATCGTTCTTTTTGTGGGGCTTCCTGTTCCCTGAAGGGCCTGGCCGTGCCCCACACAATGCAAGTGCCCCTGCAGGACAATGAGAATGTCTCCTGCATTCCTCACTGTGCCTTCCTTTGAGAACCCCTGTCCCACCATCTAAACTACAGTTCTCAGAGTGTGATCATGGGACCCCTGGCTTCATGAAGCTTGGGTCGTGGGAAGCAGGAGATCCTCAGAGAGGATCTAGCCGATTAGGAGCTGAGTAGGACAGGTATGGGAAGGCGCCGGCAGCGCCTTCCGGGACTGCAGTGCTATGGGCTGAATGTGGAGCAGCAAGGAGCATCCCTCGGCTCTGTGGGGCCTGCAACCTCTGCTCTGCCTCTCGAACCACAGCTCAGGTGGCAGGCGGTAGGCAGCAGTGAAGGTGGTGTGGGTTCAGGCGGTGAAATCATTGCATGCTTTTGCATTGCAAAGTACAGTTGTTTTTCATTAAAAAATAAAGTAGAAGTCTTGAAAACAGATAATGAACTTAGATTATTGTTAAATGAATCATGCTTAGGTAGTTTTCGGCTTTAATGATGATCATAAATATTGGTAGCAGTCACTCCTGTAAACAAGTTATTTGCAGTGGGGCCCAAATAACATTGAGGGCTGATGGCCTGTTCTGCAAAGCTTGAGGTCCAGCAGGAGGCCCATACCTTCTGGTGCACAGAGTGAGGGTGAGGGTTGGAGCTCACTACCTCCTCCCTGTGTCTGGCTCTGTTCTTGCCACCCACACAGAGTACTTTTGGGGAGATTTTGTGGCCCACAAAGCCAAGTCACCACAGGAGCATGAGGACTTCAGAGAGTGTTTAGCTTTTGTGTGGTTTTCTAAGTTGTTTTTGATCATGGGGTTGATGGGCCACAAGCCAGTTCATGGCCAGCTGCAGGCAGAAATTCTTACTGTGTGTTCTTTATGACATATAAGTTACAGCTCTTTTCTTCTTGGTTATTTCAACATCTAAAAAATCTTGTGTGGTTTGACGTAGTAAGTTACAAATCACCTTTTAGGACAAACTAAGTGAAAAGACTCCAACATAATGTTTAATTCTAGGTTCTAGGACAGTTCAGATAATTAGAAAAATATGTGTAGTATGTATATTTAATATTATAGTATTAACTCAATAGATTTTGAAATGTTAGTTTTTTGTGGTATCTTTTGTAATTATTTAAATGTGACACTAAAAATTAATACTATACTGGAAAGATAAGAGTTCTCATTTTTAATGGAATATGAGTAGCAAGCATATCTGTTGTTCCTTTTCTCTCATTGTCTAATGAATAATTGCTGCTCTTTTAACCGGGTTTTCAACATCTCCTATGTAGCTTCATTTTACAGTATTTTGGAGGATTTTTCATTGAAGAAGATTATTACCTCTTTACTCTGCAGTGTGGTCATGATCTCTTATTTTCTCTTATTCTTGCAATTTACCATGGTCAAAATTTACAAAATATTTTCAATTATATTTAAAGCAGGCTCATTTCTAAATTACAGCATCAGAAAATAGTTATCAGGTTAGGGTCGGGAAAACCCTGTGTGGATGGCCTTCTTTTCTGTCAGAGGGGCATGGGGTTCAGTCAGTATAGAGAAGAGCGGGCACTCGATTCCCTCCCTGATTGCGCTAAAGAGTCTGCTCTGACCTCTGTGTTGTCTCCTCTCCCCCATCAGGCCTTGGGCTGCTGCTCCCGCAGATGGGAGCAGAGGAGGGGAAGAAAGTTCATTTCCTGTTGAGTGGTGGTCCTGAGCATAGATTTCATGGCCAAGTGTTACCTTATCCTATAACTCTTGTGATAACAGAATTTCTTTACATTGTAATTTTGGAAGTAGGTCGACTATTTTAACTTAAAAGCACCTGTATATAATACATTATTTAGTTTAGTACTTAGTAACAGATTTAGATATAATGGAGATTTTATTCCCCCAATGCTACATTTGATCCTATAGGTATGGATGGTATAAATACTAAAATGTTTTGACTTCTTATTCAATTATAGGTTACCAAAGAGGACTTTGCAACGTTCGACTACATGCTGTGTATGGACGAAAGCAATCTGAGGTAACCCCCTCAAGAGTCACTTCTGTCCTGCTCAGCGCGGTCACAGGGCAGGCTACACCAGCCAGCATGGTGGTGATGGCTCCAGTGTGCAGAATGTCAGCCTGACTTCGCAGGTCCGTCCACACAGAGGTGCCCCTTCTGAAGGGCAGGTGGTTGGCGAGACTGGAGGCTAGCAGGGCTGTTACTGCAGTCTTAGGAGAAGCATGGATCTGCACACGTGATTACTGCTGTGTGCTTCCTGACCTCGGGTGTTTTGTTCCTCACTTGTTCCTCCGTTGACCCTGTGCCCAGCCCGGAGAGGCTATGAGCAAGGAGGCTCCTTACTGACTGCAGCTCAGCTTGTGAGAGGCTGAGGGCTGGGTGTCTGTGGCAGGGCCAGCCCAGCACTTCATCAGCATGTCCATGCATTGTCATTGTGTCATTGTCAGGGGAGCTGACCAGTGAGTGCAAGGTACCCCCTCAGGCTCACATCGAGGGGTCAAGTAGGAAGGTGGAGTCCCCAAGCCCCCTGCCTGCATGCACTCCCGGCCCCACCCCTTGGGCCTCATTTGCCCGTCCCTCCCCTCTCCCCTCTGCATTGCTGGCTGCTGGGACTTGGTTCAGTGTAGTCGCGCATTTATGAACCCATTTTCCTTCTGATGCTTAGAGTCCATATGGTCTGTAATTATCTGTGCTGCTAATTACTCATAGAAGTAAACAGACACAGTTGTGATAGTTTTGCATATTTTTAAATCAGGCCTGTCACTAAATTCATTGTTCTTGTTTTTCATTTTATCTGTTGTGTGCTCGTTGTTCTCGTGTGTACTGGAGCTTGTAGGTTTAAACGTGTTGTGGACTGGACACCCCAGTGAGCACCAAGGGAGCAGTGCTTCCCCGTGAGCTGGCAGAGCTGTGTACCCTTGGCTTGCCAGAAGCTCCTGCTGGCTGCTGCAGGGGCCCAGGTTCTGCTGCCTGCTTTGTCCCACGCTGGAACCTGCACCAGGGCACTCTGGGCTGTGCTCCGAGTTCCTGTGGACACACCATGGGTTGGTCAGTGACTGAGTGAGCCTCTGTCTCTGACAGCAGCGTGAGAGGGAGCTGAGTGTTCAGAATGGGCAGAGGCTCAAGGGGTGAGAGGAGGACACTCAGTAATGGGGTTGCTGCAGTAATATGTGTGGGCATGCAGAGGCTGGGGAGAAATGGTGGCTCCTGGTGGCTCTTGTGGCTTTCTGAGTTCCTGTCTCCTCCTTTGGCTCTGGCACAGTGTCTATTTGATAGATCATCTCATTGTGTACTGCACAGCAGAAGTCACAGTCCCTGACTTAGCATCACCTATCCTGTGTGATGGAATCAGACTGTGCTGCTGCATGTGCTCTTGCTTGGGACAGTGCTGTGGTACACAGCCATGGGCAGGCTCTGTGGCTCTGCAGAGGATTTGCTTTCATTTGGAATCAGGTCACTCTGGCTGGGTTTTGATACAGATGTTTCATAAACCCCCTAGCAGATGTCCCTGTTTAACCTGAAACTGTAGATCAGAAAACTAAGTTCATATTTCGATTTTTCAGAGATTTGACTAGAAAAAGTAATCAAGTTAAAAACTGCAAAGCTAGAATTGAACTGCTCGGGAGCTATGATCCACAGAAACAGCTCATCATTGAAGATCCCTATTACGTAAGTACAGCTCCCTGAGGGGGCCTGTGGAGAGGCCGGCAGGTGTGCATCTAGTGTATTAAATGACAGGGGAAGGCCTTGTAGCTGTCTTTTTCTTGTCCTTTCAGGGGAATGAGTCCGACTTCGAGCAGGTGTACCAGCAGTGTGTCCGGTGTTGCAAAGCCTTCCTGGAGAAGGCCTCCTAGGGCTGGCCAGGCTCCACCGCAGCCCATGTGTGTCCCACCCAGTTCTGCCCTCTTCTGTGCTCAAGCCCCAGGCCCCGCCTCTTTCTCCACATGACTTAGCATTTCCCTGTTAAAGATAATTGAAAGTGTAGATCTGCAGTATTTGCAGGAGAACAAATATGCTTGATTTGGTGTTTAGGCATACAGTAAGTTTTCATAGACTAGCTGAGTGTCCCACTTCACCCTATTTATAGAAAACAGTGAACAAGCAAATATAAAACAGCAAAATGGAGACCTGTAGAGCAGGAGTGACCCACAGGCCCAGATCAGCCTCTTAGTCCAGGAGGACCTGGACAGGCTGTGCTACCTCCCTTGGTGTGTGGATGGTGTCCTCCGCTCACCTGTGTACCTCTTTGCCCAGGCCTGTGCTGGAGTCACAGAGTCCATCCATTCATCCTCAGCAGTTCCTCACCAACACTGGCAGTGTTTCAGCTCAGGCACGTTCAGTGTGATTATCTGTATGCATGTGATCAAAAAATACAGTGAATGTTTAAACTTCAAAAAAAAAAATTTACAGTAAGGACGCATTGTTGGGCTGGGGATTTAGTTGAGCAGTGTAAGTGCCTGCCTGGCAAGTGTGAGGTTGTGAGTTCAATCCCTGGTACCAAAAAAAAAAAGAGGACACATTGTCATGAATTCCCCTCAGAATCCCCATTGTTCTCGCCACTTTCTGCAGCAGCTCTGGAGTCCTCTTTGCTGTGCCTCTAATTGGGCTGTTCTGGCTGCTCTGATGTTCTGAATCAATTGAAAACGTCTCCTTTCCATGGTCGTTTTGACTTTGGGATGAGTCAGAGGTCACACAGTGCTGGATCAGGTGACCAAGGCGGATAGGGCTCACTCAGTGTTCAGGAGCTGCCTTGCCATCAGACAGCTTGGCAGCCGTGTTCACCAAAATTTTGATCACACTTTGTAAAGACATGAAAGAGATTTCAGAAAGGGACAATAGCGCTGGAATAAGAATGTTTGAAGCTATGCAGGGATTCAAGGAAGTATGTCTATCATCATCTTTTATTTAAACATTTACTTTATTTTCATGGTATCTCCTAGATTTAAGATAGGAAGATTAGTGCAAATGTTGGTTTAATAGTTGTCGGTTTTGTCTAGTTGATTTCATGAGAAGATTGCTTATTTGCTCCCATTTAAATCACTTTCCTCTAAAAATTTAATTCCGTCCAAAGAGAACAACGCTTATAAGAAGTTAACTTGTGAGCAGTGGAGGGGTGTGTCTGTTTTATATGCATGTGTAATTAGATGTCAAATACAGATTGGCTTAGATATAAAGAAGTAAAAAGTTGGAAAGTTTTATTACATTTGTATCCTTAAATACTGATTTGTTAATAAGATAGTTATAGACAAATTATGTAATTTCATTCTCAGATTCGTGGATATCAGAAAAGATGGCTTTCAGATAAACTGGGATGTTACAAAAGTATAATAGAGAAATATGGTGTCTTCCTCTTTTTTTATTGTCAAATAAAGATTTGAGAACATCACCTTTGTCCGTCTCAGATAGTCTGTGGTGTTGTGTTTCCCTGTTTGCTATCAGTACAAAGAAACAATGGAGAAAAGCAGCTCATGGCTGCCCGATGTAGCTCCTCCATTCAGATCAGGTGACCTAATCCCTGTAGAATCTTAGTCAAAAAAGTCAGTCCTTGTGCAAAGGCTGGGTGGCTCATTACCCAGAGGAACTGAAGAGCTGAGAGGATCGAGGGTGTGCACCTCACTGGCCAGGCCCCCGAGGAGGGCAGGGTGCATTACCCCTGATGCATGTGACAGTGGCTTTTCCAGCACACTTCCGCTTGGAAGCCTACTCAGCTCCTGGTGGAGTTCCTGGGAGCCACAGAAGACTCAGGAGGTAAGATTGGGCATGGGCGATGGCTTCTCCACAGTGGTTGGGAGAAGACATACAGGTGACTGACCACAGCCTGGAGCGGATGAACAAGAGCAGTTTGGCTTCATGGTTCAGCAGCTACCTGATGTCTTAAGGCTGAGACACTGCTTCTGCTCCTCTGTGTTCACAGCTGAAGTTCTCTGGTTTTCTCTGATGTTTATGTGTATATCTTAAGTCCTGAGCTGCAGACAAGTCACAGGACTTGTGAGCACTGCCCTCAGCACTGTACCAGACAGCCGCGCTCAGCAACGCTGTACGAACAGAAACAGTTGACTGGCTGATTTCCCCTTCCTCTGGTTAGATCTTGATGGATGTGTTTAAAATGTACCCCCCATGAATGTCTCAGTCTGTTGAGAAGCCTTAAGGTTCCTCTTGGTTTGATTTTTTTCACAGTATGGGAGATAGCATATTCAACTGTATTTGGGACATTTACTACGAAATTAGGCTAACCTATTTCAAAAGATTGTGTCACTAAAACATAGAAACCTCTTAAAGAAATGCTAATTTGTCCCTTACAGGGATTCTTACTAGCCTTGGAGTTTCTCTTGCTTATGTGCTTTTAAATATTGTGACATTCTGCCTGTGTGGCAGTCCCTTAGTGGAGGTGTAAATCATGAATTCCCAATGAGGAGCTTGTGGGAGAGGCAGAGTCACTCTGAAAACCATTAATTATAACAAACACTTCATTTATTATTTGTACTTATATACAGTATTTACATACTACACAACCGCTGGAATGCTATTTTACATTTATACAAAGGACAAATGGGATTGCGTGGGTATATTCACTGATTTATACTCTGCTGTCTTCAAAATATGACTGAACTTTTTAAACTTTCCATGCAGTTCCACATAATACCCTGGGGGTTTAATTGTAAAAGTAATACAAAATATCAAATCATATATACTATACGAAAATATAGTTTTAAGATTTTGCCAGTGCTTCTAAAGAAATACTTTGTGATTTCGCCTAATCAGGAAAATGAAGTGCCCTTATGTTACAGCACTACATCAAATGAGTGTTGTCAGTTTTTAAGATGAAGGATGGCACGTATCACTGTCAGGTATGCTGACCATCAACAACATACAAATCCAAAGGGATTTTGGAGGAGTCTGTCTGCAAAAATAAATCTCTGTCCTCAGGGAATGGGTGTGAAGAGAGTCCTGTCTCCCAGTGGACCAAGGCACTTCTCAGGGTTCCTGGTGTGGTGCTGCTCACAGCTGAAAGCAAACACACGTGTTAACAGCATGGCTTGCACTGGAGCTTCTGTGCTGCTCAAGCTGCGCACTTGGCTAAAAAGCACCGTGCATTCACAGGGGAGGGCTCAGCGTATGTGTGCCCTTTTCTGTGCTGCAGAAAGTGGGGTCAAGTTGATTTGGGAAAGTCAGTTCTGAGGCTGGGCCAGGCAGATATTTGCCCACATGCAAGTGCCTGTGTACGTGGTCTGTGTCCTCAGGCATGGGGGCAGCTCTGGGAAGCAGCTGGCTGGCTGCCACCTCCGTGTGCACAGGGGTCAGCAGGGCTGATGGTTTGTGTAATCCAGACTGAACTCATGTCTACTACTCCACGTTGGAGTGCTGATAACCCTTTATTTCTAAGAGAAGGCTATTGTCAGGGTCACCAGGCTGTGCCCAGCAAGCAAACCAGCTGCCCAGATACTTATTACTCAGCACTGTACTTCACTGAAAATGCCCTGGAGGTCAGCATTTGATCTGGGAGTCTATAGTGAATGGAACACTGGGGGATATGTGTCAACTTCCTCTATGGTCTGAGAAGGTCGGGGTCGGGAGTGCTCACAGATTTGCTCCCTGCCTTTGGCCTCTAAGGGCTCTGGGCTGGAGCTGGGGAGGAATCTGCCTGTCAGCTGGAGTCAGCGCAGGGTGCAAGGTGCTGTGGTGCCAAGGCTCGGCCCATTGATGGTCACCAGGATGTGTGCTCAGGGTAGCCCAGCACACTGTCCCTGGGCAGATGTGCTGTCCTGGGTTCTCCACTCGGGGGGGGGGGGGTCTCAATGTTCTGAGCCAGCCTGCAAGGCACAGAGAAGCCTGGCCTGTGTCTGTCTTAGTCATGCACTGGGTAATGGTTTGCCTTTGCAGTTTAAGTTGTTTAGAATTGGAGGAATTAAATCTGAAACGTAAGAGTTATGAAACTTTTAGCAAGGATATCCATTGTAAACTTGACCCATTTCTTGTCCAATATGAACTCTGTGACAGCTGAGTCAGCTGTGACTGTCATGCTGTGAACATGCTGCCGTCTCCCCTGTCACCTGGGACTGGTAGCTTGAGATGGGTAAGGGCTGTGCGGCCACATTTGCCCAACAGCCAGGTTCCCCTGAGTGACCTACGCTATGGGACACAGAACAGCCTGAGTGAGTCCCCCTGGTGTAGATTCAGCTAGGGCAGCTCTGGTTGGGCTCCTGCAGGAGCACCTGCCATGGAGGCAGGCTCATGGGCAGGCAACAAGGCCTCTGCTTTCCCTAGTGGCGAGGAGATGGGGACTTTCCCAAGGTGCACCTGGGCAATGTCCAGGATGGCAGTGGCCCAGCTCTATAAACATGTGGGTAGGTAAGAATAACCTCACAGCTTTGGGAGGCTCTGAGTTCAAAGAAAAAGTAGAGTTCACAGCTCACAGGTGGTACATGAAGTCAGCAGGAGAAGGGCGCAGGAGCACACACCTGGCTCTGACTCCAATAAAACCCTTTGCTTCCTCCAGATAACAGCCCTGGAGCCTGTGGCACCCTGCACTGAACCCACATGCCTCAGCCCCACCCCCATCTTTAGAAGCCCTTGCTCCTCACGGTAAAGAGGAGAGTGGCCAGGGTGACAGCACCTGCCAGGCCTGTGGGACAGAGTCCAGAGCTGCCCACCTGTATTCCCAAGCACTGAGTCTATCTGAGTAGAAAAGCACTATTCCTGTCCATTCTTTACGAGACAGAGGAGAGCAGGCACTAGGAGAGTATAATACCCCTTCTATCAGTGCTTTCTGGACAAGTGGATATTTCTGGAAACAGCCATGGTTGGACAGAGAGCCAGTCTTAGCTGTGGTGGTGTGCCCACCTCTGGTGTGCCTGGCACTCCCAAGACATCTGGGAAGCAAGAATGAGTGGACCAGAGGGTCCGGTGGGTTGTGTACAGTGGCCAAGTCCTACAGGCTGGCTCCTAAAGCCAGACTCCCAGCCATCCCCAGCTGCCTGTGACTTGTCATCCCTCCTCTCTGGAGAGCACAACTAAAGGCTATGAGAAGACGTGGATGCATTTGAACAGGATAGCTACTCTATTAAGCTTATGGGTATAGTGAGAAGACGCCAAGCCTTTACCAGATGTGCTGTAAAATGTGCAAGAGCATGCTGAGCCACACACAGATGGCCCCTGACTTTTTACCAGACCCAGTAAAGCTGGCGCTTCTAATGCTGCACTTTGGTGTTCCCTGGGCTGATACACACTACGGTTCTCTGGTATCGCATGTTCTCCAGGGTGGGGTGTTAAATGCATCTTGACTGACCGGGGTCTATCAGGATGTAACTCTTGAAGAAACACTGTGCTCACTTGGGCTGAGAAACTGAAGCACAATTTTAAAAACGGTCCTGGGTCAGGCTCTCTGGACTGAGACCAGCAGGCTACAGTCCAGGTGCCCAGGAGAATGCTTGCTGGCTCTGCAAGCTCCCAGCAGGGGGCACCTTTCGTCAGGGCCAGCGTTTCCAGGTACTCTGAAGATGTGTGAGGCTGACCTATGGGGAAGGCTGCCTGGGTCCAAGAATGGTTGTCCACGTCCCATGGGGGTTCTGGCCCTGCTGTGTGGCTCACCCAGCTTCGGGGCTTACCTCACCCCTCCATGCACGCAGGACTGACGGCCAGCCGAGTAAGAAGCCTCGCACACCTTTTGTAGTCTGCAGAGAATAAACCACAGGCCTTTGTCAGTTATGTGAACACCACTAAAATAAACAGCAGTGGGTTTTTTTTTAAGCTTATCAACTGCTCTCCCCATTTATTTATTTCTAAATATTCTGAATTTCCTGGCAGTAATATGGAGTCTGCCATGTGCAGTCAAGGGCTCTAAATTGATTCGGTAAACTATGATTCTTCAGGGACATCAGGCAGAAGGCAGGTAACTCGGGGCTCAGTGGAACAGCTGCCACCTGGTCCTCAGGCTCTGGAAACACCTCCAGCTTTTCCCCTAGGGGAACAGAATATTCCCACGTCCTGTGTGACTTGACTTCCAGGTCACACACAGCCTGAGTCCCCACCTGACCATGACCAAGTGACCATGACACCCAGACTTCTGCATTAACATTCTCAAGAGGGTAGGTCAGAAGTAGCCAAGAGGCCTGGATTGGACAAGATGAGGAAGCAAAAAGCTAATTTCTTTTTTGGTGGTTCTGGGGATGGAATTGAGCTGGTTTCTGAGGGTGGACTGCACATAATTCCCATCCCACCCTTCTGCCAGAAGCTGGGGCAGGGAAGACACATGGGAAGGTTTAGTGGTCATAGCCTTAAGGGACTTCCTCAGGGCCCAGTTCTGTGCAAAGCTGTGCTTATTTATGAATTACTAAAGGTTATTTCTCAGCAGCACAAAAATCCTGTTTTAGGGAAGCATTCATGTTCCCCTGAGATTCTGAATGAATGAGTAAACTGACAGTAACAAATCCACACAATATGTCAGACAGGAAGCTAACTTTGCTCCTGAGTCTACCTTCTGGATATTCAAAGCACATAGCATTTGGTTCATCAAGGGAAAAATGTAACCATCAGTAGTTGGTCACTGGGTTCCTGCTCTAACGCCCTTCTCCCACACTTTCATACTGTACCCCAGATACAGTGGACTGTGAGCTCAGCAAATTGTAATTGCTCCCTGGGGACCCTGGTTCTTCTGCCACTGCACTCAGTCCACAGGTCTCAAGCAGTGCCCCTCAGACCATACCATGCCAGTGGAGACCTGAGCATCTTGCCAAAATGCAGATCCTATTCCTCAGGCTTCTGAGGGACTCAATTCTGCATTCCCCAAGCTCCCAGGGCCCCTAGGACCCTCTCAGTTCTAGCATTCCAGAATGCCAGGGATTTTTCTTTTGTGCAGCCTGAAGCAGCCAGGAAATGGTCAACTTTAGTTCTCCAACTGTTTATGGGCCAAGATCAGGAAGAAGCAGCCATGCGTCTCAATGTACCTTCCACTTTCGGGGGCTAGGGTGAGCTGGGACCAGTTTTGATATCTTGCAGCCAAGTTACTCTGAGAGAAAGGAGGTAGCAAATGTATAGCACAGCACAGCATCCTGGGAAAGGGCTTTGCAGAGAGCTGGGCCCTCCGCACAGGGGCAAATTAAACTGTCTCCTCATCTGTCCATGAGAGGTTAGGTGCATGATCAGAGGTCATTTTTGCATTTAGAATATGTGTTCCTCCAGTATTATTGTAAGATGATATTCAACATTCAACAATAGAAAGGTCCTCTGGTCACAGAGCAGGTTAGTGATTCTCAAGCAACAGAAGGGAGAAGGACAATCTTCACCAGTGTACATGGCATGTGCAAAGGGTGGGAAGAAACCAAACCCTGCAGGGAGTGCGTGCTTGGTCGGTACTGTGGCCTGGGGAGTGCTGGTGAGACCCACAGCACGACGTCCTGCTTGTGCCTGGCAAAGTGCCTGCCACAGAGGATGCAGCCCTACTGCTCAGAGCACCTGCTGTCTGGACCAGGAAAGAGCCAGTGCTTCTCAAAAACCAGCATGGGCCTTTCCAGCCTGTGACTCGGCCTCAGGCTCGGGGGCTCTGAAAGAGTGGAGTGGATTCCTGGTGCGTCTGCATGGCTTTTCTCCTATCAGCCTTAAATGGAGTGATGATTTTATGAAGCACACGAGGAGCCACTTTTGGGGACATAAAATATGTTTTGTTATGGATAAACAGCCAGAAGCTCACTGCAGAGAAAGCAAAGCCTCCGAGAGAGAGAGAGAGAGAGAGAGAGAGAGAGAGAGAGAGAGAGAGAGAGAGAGCGCGTGAGCTGGGCTGAGGACAGATGGAGCATTGTGAACAGCAAATAAAATGCCTGGGTGATGAGTTATTATCACTGATGGAAAAACAAAACCTCTGGTCAGCATGGTAGAGAGGGACACAAAAGTCCGGCTACAAAGTTTGAGGCCAGCTTGAGTCCCTGCCCCAGCACTGTGCACAGCAGCGAGGCACTTGGGCAGCTCACTCCTAACCTGTGTGAGCCTTGCAGTGAGCAGAGCAAGGCGGGCGCCCTGCCAGGATTCATAAACAAAACGAGAACGTGCGCTGGGGAGTTCAGCCCATTCCTGGAGCCTGGAGTTGATTAATTCCAAAGAGTGACCATTAGTTCCAGAGAATGAGACTCCTTCTGGGGTGGTACTAGCTTACACAGAGCCTATTTCTTTCTCTTTCTCTCCCTGTCTCTCTCTCCCTTGCTGTCTCTGTCTGTCTGTTTGTCTCTCTGCCCCCGCCCCTCTCTTGTGAGCCTTGTTATCTCACCAGCTTTAGGTATCTCGGCCCCAAGGCCTGGTGCTGCCCTGGAGGCAGGGGTTGGTGGGGGGGAAGCGGGGCCTCACTTACATGCCGGGATGGTGCAGTCCCTGGTGTTGTGGTACAGCCTGTGGAAGTGTTTGCTGCACTTGGGGCTGAAGTAGAGAGGACCTGAACACAGGAAGGAGAAGAAAGTCACAAAGACTCCAGCTGACAGCAGGGAGGGCAGAAGGGTGGGGGACACTGCCTCACCTGTGAGATGTTTCAGAAACTTGTCCTTCATCCTAAGATCTCGAGGGACGATTTCTGAGTGAGGGAGAGAGGCTGTTACACTGCATGAAAGAAGCACTTTTTAAACTCAATCTTGCGTGAGGACCAAGGACTGAGCACTCATTCCTCATATCTCAGCACAAATGGGCTGGGGAGCACCCTGAAGATGCCCCAGGAAGCCTCACATCAGGGACTGCTTTCCTCCCATGAGCGTGGGCTGCTTATAAAGCTCCTCTACAGCTGGGGAGGACACAGAGATGGGAAAGACACTGGGTGAAGAAAGTTGCTTTTTTTTTTTTTCGACAGCTTGCAAGGAATTGGTCACTTTTAGATACTCATTTCAAAATTTCAAAGAGCTTGGGAATCAAATCCCATGGCATTTCAAAGTTCTAGAAAGAAAATCTGATCCTTCAAACAAAAATAAGGTTATAGAACATGATGTATCGTAGGCAAATGTTTAGTAAACGCCTCTGAGAGCATGGAGAAGACTGGTTGGTTGGGGGACATGCTGGAGTGGAAGCAGGCATAGGGCTGGGCTAGGAGGCAGAACAGGGCTCCCAGGCACAGGGTCCTCCAACCTGCCGCTTCCCCCCCTCCCCCGGCCCTCCCGCCACCTGGTCCCCAGAGATGACACTGGATACCTCTCTGGTTTTTGCCTTTGTCTCTGCTCCTTTACAGTCTGCTGTGGTCATTTCCCTCCCTCCACGTGGGCTGCTTGCTTCTCTTCCTTTATTTCCCCAAAATGCTATCACCCTTCCCACCTCGGGAAGGGACACTGGCCTAGCACCATCCCACGTGCCGGGTGGAGATGTGGCCCTAATGGCAGTCCTCACTCCTTTCAATCCGCATCAACTTGACCAGATCATTTCTGACCCAATTGTGTCATGAAAGCATTAAAAGCGCGAGCGCTTTCCTGGGAAATCCCCCACGGGGCAACCACTCTGGGAAGGGCTCCACCACAGGAAAGCAGGGCCGGCCCTCGGCAGTGAAAGCACCAGCCTGACAGCTCTGCCCGCTCCAGGGTCACAGCGGCAGCTCTGTGCAGAACCCCCGACCTGCCCTGCCCAGGAGCACCAGAAGGATGGGCCCCTGCCAGCACTCAGGCACAGACCCCTGCTTCTGCTGGTTTCTTTTTCTTTGAGGAAAAAAAAACTGATCTCTCTCTTTAATCGTATTTCTCAAAAAGCCATTCTATTCCCAAGTGAATTCCCAATGGAGTATGACTTCAGACACAGAATGCAGGCAGCAGGGGGCCGCCCAATGGCCCACACCACCTCAGCCCTCTCTGTCCCTTGGTCCACCAGCCTGCCTAGGACACTCATGCACGAGCCCTTGGGAATCCCTGGGACAATCACCTTGCGCTGTGCCTCAGCCCACAGGACCTGCCTAACACACTCCTCCTCTCTGCTCTGTGGATTCCACACCGCCAACACCCTCAGTCCCTCTGCCCCTTGTTCCACACAACCTTCTGGGGCTCCACTGCCCTTTGCAACTTGGGACCCACACCACGCGGACCCTCACCTCCTCCCTGGCCTTCGGCCCACACCGTCTGCCTGGACCCCTCACTCTGTGCACTTCAGGGTCCACATTGCCTGGACCCTCTTCTGCCCCCTTGGTCCATGCTGCCCGCCAGGACACTCACCCACTCTCTGCTCCTCTGGGTCCGCCCCATAGTCCGCTGCCTCCCTCCGGCCCAGGGCGAGGTCCGGCTGGTCAAGCAGCTGCAGCCGCTTGGCCTCGGCCGGGTGCGACTTGCGCAGCTCCTGGGCCAGCTCGGCCAGTAGCAGCCGCAACAGCGCGCGTCGGTCCACGGAGCCCCGGGGTTGCATGCGTCCCCGACCTGGCCCCGCTGTACCCAGCACAAGCAGCAGCCCCAGAAGCAGGGGTCGCCCCGGAGCGCGCATGGCCCGGCCGCGGGGCACAGAGGGTGCGCGGGTCCCCAGGACCCCTGGGCCACCAGGCCGCGTCACGCAACTTTCTCCTCTGCCCTGGCTCTGGGCCTGGGTAAGCGCCGCCGCCACCTGCCCTCAGGAACTCAGCGCCGTCGTCCCGGCTGGGTCCGTGCGCCCGGATCGGATGCGTCCGGGTTCTGAGTGTCCAGGTCCCAGTGCGCCGGGGTCCGCGTGTGCCCGGGTCCTAGTGAGCCTTGGTTCGAGTGCGCCCAGGTCCGAGTGCTTCGAGGTCCTCGTGCGCCTGGGTCCGAATGCGCGCTCTTGTCCGTGTACCCGGGTTCTACTGTGCCCAGCCCCGTGCGCCCGCGTCTATGCGCCTGGGTCCGTATCCTCCTGGTCCGCGTGCTCCTCGCCAAGCGCAGCAGGGTTGCGGGACACGGTGGCGCCGCTCCGAGTGGACCTCGGGCTCCTGGTGCCGGCCAAGCCTGGCCGCGCGCTTCTTATGTCCGCTGCCGCCGACGCAGGCGGGTCTCCGACGCAGCGGCTTTTACCGGCGCGTGGCTCGCTCCGCTGCCCGCCGCCGTCAGACCCCCCGTCCCGCGCCTCCGCCCCGCCCCGCCGTCTCTCCGCCCCTTCCTCCCGCCCCCGCCCGGCCTCTCCCCGCGGGTGCCCGGGTTCCTGTCACTTGTGACAGCAGGAGGAAAGGCGCCTTTGCCGGGAACTCGGATCCGTTGTCTAAATGTAGATTTTGGGCTTTTAGGGAGGAGTCGCCTGACTGCCTGGCATTTCCTCAGCGGATTCGAGCCACGCGCGTCGGGGACCTGCGGGCGCGGCGCGCGTCTACACAGCCGGAGCCGCCCTGCACGCTAGGGGACCGGACACCCGCGCGCCCGGCATGCGCCGGCACCTGCGGGAGGGCTCGGCCGTGTACTTCCTGGAAAGCTTTTTCTTGTAAAATGTGTTATCGGGCAGTTGCGCACTTTCCCGTTTTATAGGCGCTGTCCGGGTAGGAGCTGCACCTCCTCCAGCGACCCGGCTGGGAGAGGAGTCGTGGGTCGCGACCCAGCGCCCCGGACAAGTGCGCGCGGCCTCCGAGGGGCGGGCCGACGGGCCCGGGACCGGGCGCTGCTCCCGTCCACTTGCCCGTCAGTTAGTCTGTCCGTCTGTTCTTGCGTCCTTCTGTCCTCCGGTCTCAGCCCTTCCCTGTGCTGGCCCGCTTTTCCCGGGAGGAGGTGGAGACGGCGCGTGAGACCCCTGATTGTGCGCCTGCCTCTGCGCTCTTCCTAAGCTAAGGGTTTGCTGTCCAAATGAGAGATTTTGTTTTATTTTGGATTTTTGTGTTTGTTTGCTTGCTGGGTTTGTGTTGATCTTTCTTTTTTTCTTCCTGCGTGCAACATGAACGCAGTGCGAGTATTTCCGATGAATGCACCCGGGGAAAAGTTAAGTTTCTTGTCCCAGAGCTCTCAGGCGGAGCACCGGAATCTACTTCCTTTCCTTGTTTGAGGAAAAACCAGGTAACCTAGCAAGAGCGACACCTGCTGGTCGGTTTTCCAGCGCCAGCTCGATTGGTTTAACCCTCATTTCCCACTGTGAGGCTTCCTTTTTCATTGTTTTTAATTTTTCCCCTCGTCACATAGTTTTTTAGATTTAGATTATTTTTTAAAAATAGCATTTGTTTTTACAGACTCAAAAGCTTCACTTCTGAAAAAAAAAACACCAGTAGGCTCTCACACAGCAACTCTATCAACCAAGTGAGAATCTGTCGTCTTTGATGGCTGGGTTTCTCGACTGACTCCTTTCTACCACCAAGGCCACGTGCAACCTCGCTTGCTGGATGGCAGGAACAGCGGGCACAGTCAGAGGTCACGGGGGTTTGGTTTGGAGAATATGGCAGCTAAGGGCCCGACAACTCATGCGTCCATACATGCATGCAAGAACAGTTCTGTGGCTGAAGTAACTCTATGTGCCCTTATTTTATATAAACAACTTTTACCGATGTTTAAAAATTTAATTAAGCATGTGGATTTCCTGGTCTCCTCCTCCTCCTGGTCTCCTCTTTGCAATATGCAGCACCGTCAGGCTGAGCTGCATGGTATCTCCAGTTACCAGACACACTTGCAGTCCTGGTGACCAGTACATCCGATTGGACTAGTGTTCTCGGGCCATGGGGCTGAGCAAAGGACAGTCAAACAAGCCACCGGGACACGGAAGCCCTACTGATCAATCAGTGTCTCATCACATCTTCCCAGGTATTGTCCCTACTGGAAAACTCTGTCATTCTATGGTTGTTACTAAAAAAGACCCCAAACAACAAAATGTAATATTCCCACCAAAAAAGCCAAAGATAATCACTTGAAGTATCACCATGAGTTTTGGTATTTAATTTCATGCATAAAGTGGTGCCATAATTATATTAAATAATATTAATAATGTAATTTCCAACTGTCTACTGTCAAGGGTTCAAAAGGCCAGGAAGGTAAGAGAGAAAATGAGATCATACAGTTGACTAGAATTCCTGGTGGAAAAAAGCATTTCCTATGCTAGATTCAAGCTGTTTTCCTTTTTAAGAAAATTATGTTGGACCGTAGAAAGAAAAACTCAGGCAAGAAGAAGTATATTTAATTTACTTAATATCCATGGAAGGACATGGGATTAACAGTATAAAGTTCCTTCACTTGAACTGCAATCATCATTATCTTGTCCCTAAAAGGTACATGTTTATTTTTAGATGGGTATTAACTATCCTTAAAAACTTGTACAACAAAGAGTCCACCAAAAGTGAAAAGAAGAATACTATGTTTCTCTAACAGATGGTGTTACCCTCATACAAGGGACCATAGAGGATGTCACATATCTTGGAAAACCTACTGCACTGCTGGTCCTTAGAGAAGAAACTGAAAATGCAGTGTTGTAATCTCAGTGACCGAGGTTACCCAAGCAACAGTTCACTGTGCTAATAAAAGTCTGAAAGGTAATGGCCACTTTGAGCACCCCTTGTAATTGTAAAGGCCAAAGGTAACTTGTATTAATCTCATGATGTTTCAATAAATTTAGAATTAAAATATTTATACAAGTTTCTCTGTTTTTCAATGTGTATATGTTTTTGGGGAACAGACTGTATATAAGTCAACATGTTTTAAAATGAATTGTTGTATTTGCTCAACCATTAATAATTTAACAATCTAACAGCTCTTATTAGAAAGAAAAACAATCACCTTTCATACAAGATAACATGTGCCATAGTGACAGGTTGCTTAATGTTTAACTTTTACCTGTTCTGTTGTTTTTACTACCAATATGCTATTATTGTGCTAGAAATGTACTAGACACTCTACGAAGGTTTTAGGAAGACAAGATTTCTCATAGGACCAACTTCCTAATCTATACCAGGTATGATCAAAAGGTATTGTGAATGTTTTAAGTTAAAAAATTACAGTAAAAGACACACTGCTACAAAGACATCACCTCTTAAAATGGTCCCCCTCACTTTGAACACACTTGTCCCATCATCCTTACCACTTTCTGAAGCAGTTCTGAAGTCTTCTTTCTTGAGTGTCTAAAGTTGAGCTTTCTTGACTCCCTCAACATCCTGAACTGACTTAGAACATTTCCCTTTGATGGTCAATTTGGGTTAGGGAAAGAGCCAGAAGGCACACGGTGACCAAGGGGGCAGAGGAATCACCACCTTGACACTCATGCTACAAACACAGGGCCTCTGAGTGCCTAGCTGCCGGGACTGCTGCCTTAGGCAGCGTGACCGAGACCTGCTGACTAATAAAAGTTTGGAAGTTACTGACCACCAGTTTGAGCACTCCTTCTAATTGATGTGCATGGACAGTCCTTCCTGCTGTCTCAGCACAGAGCCCTTGGCTTCTTTTTCTTGGTGCAAACAACCAAACCCTCCTTGGAGCCTGCTTTTCTTCCACTGCTGGAGCTTTTCAAGCCTTTCAGCTCTGCTCCCTTTGGCTGCTGATGGTCACCATCAGGTTTTTGAAGCCTGAATTCCATGCTGCCTTATCATCTCCAGTCACAACAATTGCCAGCTCTCTTAACCCTAACCCTAACCCTTATCCTAACCTAATCTTAATGCTTTAAGAATGACTACCTTCAGCATCTCAGGACAAGAACACAATGCATCTGAGTCCTTAGCTGGGGTGTCCTGAGGGTGAACTCTAGCTTTGTTCCAGTCCCATCTTGAGAGCTTGTCAGAATAACCCTAACTGTTCACATTCCCACCCATGTGCTGGACTTCTGAGCCCCCAGGAATGGCCTGGTAAGCTCCACCGACAGCATTCTGAGCTTTTTCTAGCCTGTTTTCCCAAACTTTCCTAGATTCACCCTGTTAGTCAGTTTCCAATCACAGACCCAAAGTACATTTTCAGACATGATCACAGCAGTAACCCTACTTGTTTGTACCAATTTTCTAGGATTGGTACAAAGGATTGGTCAATGTGGTAAAGTTGACAATGAAAATTAACCACCGCAGACACTGGCACTATGACAGCAAGGGTTGTAGAATCCAGAGAGTGTTTGAAATGAGCTGTCTCCCTTGAAGGCAGAGGATCCTAAAGTGAAGATGCACTGTGTCCTTAACCATACCCGACAATATCCTTCCTGAGCAACCTTGGGAGCTATGGAAGGACAGTGAGTTTTGAAAGTCCAGAATAAGGGGTGGGCATTGCCTGCACTGGCACAGGGCATCAGAGATGAGCTCCCAAGGGAGGCCCGAGAGGGGACAATTGGAGAGGAACTTTCCAGAGGCCATGTTCTCCCCAGAGCACAGTACACAAGAGTGGAACCCATCTGTGGCACTGCCTTGGGGAACTGATTTCTTAACATCCAGCAGTGACAAGAGGAACCGTCATCTCAGAGGATGTGTGGCAATTAAAGTGTGTTAAAAAATTGTACAATTGTACAGTAATAAGCCTTTCCTAGTGTGAACAATCTTAAGGTTGTGTTTCATTATCCCCATTAAGTCATAAAAGAAAGCACATTCCAAATCCTATGGAACATCTGGGAATGAAGATCTGTGACTTGTTCAAAGCCGCATAGAATATCTATTCTTAGGAAGTGGACAGAAATATCCCGAATGTGTAACTTTTCACTAGACAGACCAGCAAGCAGCACTGTGACTGAGGGCTCAGACAGGGCAGTAAGGGCTCTCCTGGGACTAGGAGTACAGGCCAGAACTGAGGATGCAAGCAAGTAACTGAGGCTCCGGCTTGCAAACCAAGAGTCCAGATCAGAGGTTGAGGCTCCAGACTGGAGGCTGAGGGTCTGGTCCAGAGGTTGAGGCTCCAGATCAGAGCATATAGAAACATTTTCCAGCATAAAAGAGTACGGCATGTTTGGAAAATTTTAAGTTCCAGAGTGGAAAGAGAAGACATAATTTTAAAACCTACTGTAAGTTCTTTGAATTTCCTGAAGTCTGTGATAAATGATTGCTGATGTGAGGAGAACATTTTTACATTTTATGAGGGTAGTTACAGGGCAAGGACAAAGGGATTCAAAGCTAGTGGTAGGTCATAAGGAAGCTTTCCAACAGTGCACTCCACCATTTGCTTATCCATCCATCCTTCCTCCCATCCATCTGTCCATTCATCTATCTATCTATCTGTCTATCTATCCAGCCTCCATCCTCCACCTTTTATTCATCCATTAATGTATCCACCCATCCTCCTTCCATCACCCATCTTCCCAATCACTGGTTCCTTCTGTGACTCAACACTTACAGAATTCCTGCTCCAAGGAGTAGACACTGGCCACAGCAAATGAAGTAAAATAGAAGTTATAAGTAGTTCAAGAGTGGAAGGAAAAATAATAAAGAAGAAACAATGCCAAGATTCAAATGAACTAGAGTGGAGCCTAAAGTGTGTGTGTGTGTGTGTGTGTGTGTGTGTGTGTGTCTGTGTGTCTGTGCGTTTGAGCGCACATGTGGTTGGAACCCAGGGGTGCTCTGCCATCAAGCTACGTTCCCAACCCTTTATTTTGAGACAGGATATCACTAAATGGATCAGGCTGGTTTTAAAATTGTGGTCCTCTTGCCTCAGCCTCCTGGGTAGCTGGGATTGCAGGCATGCACCACTGTGCCCAGTAGGAATCTACATTTGATAAGGGACCTCAACCAGTATCTTTAAGATATGGCATCCGGGTTAAACCCTGGGAAACTTTTAGGTGATACAATTGAAAAAAAGGAGACAACCCAGAACTAGAGCATGGAGATGGAGTAGAGGCTAAAAGCAAACTTGGCTTCTCAAGAAAACCAACCCTTTTAAAAACTGCTTTTCCCTGAGAATGACACCCTCAGCAATGCATGCTTCTCTGGCTGCATTTAGAAGTACACAGGGGAAAAGGAGCATACGCTTGAGCTGGGAACTGTTTACAGCCTCCATCAGGTAATTCATTCACTCAGTCAGCAAATATTGACTGTGGCCCATCACAGGCTGAGCACAGTTCTGGGAAGGTTGGGATCTCGGGAAGTGCAAAGATCACTCCTACTGCTGGCCTTATTTGAGAAGAAACTTCAGCCTAACTAGAAAAAGAGATAGAGAATTAAGAAAAAGAAATAACCTAAAATAAAAATTTTGATAACGGCAGGACATCTTTCTTCTACTTCGTCAGCCTACAAGGACAACAGTATTTCAGCCAGGGCATTTTTGCTGCTTTATGGCTGGAAGGAAGCACAGCTCAGAGGCGACCTATGCTGAGGCCCAGGTGTGTTCCCCACCATCCACAGGAAAACATGGGCCTGCCCTGGCGCAGCATCAGGCAGCTTACAGAGCTTTGGGTCACAGGAAGGACGCCCATGTGTACCCAGTCTGCCCTTTTGCTGTCAAGGAGCTGTGTGGAGACCTGTCAGCCTGAGAAGGCCACCTGTGATCTCTGGCATTAATCTTGTTGTGGCTCTTGACATCTGATTTTGCCGTACCATCTGTCAGAAGTTGTCAATAAATAACTGATGAGTGCTTGATAGATTCTTCAGCTATTTTTATATCTGTAGTTCAAGCTACTTCTCTGCCATGAGCTCAGGTTATTTTTTTTTTAAAGATAAAGCACTTTCTCTGTCCTTTAAGTAATTCCCACATGCCTAAACATGCTTTGAAGTTTCTCTTCATTCCTCACTCCAGAATCAAGAGCCAGATTCCAGAGGTAGCCATAGGGTGTGTCAGTCTTCCAATGAGAGGAGACTCCTGAGGTAAAGGAGGCAGCCAGGCCTTGGAAGTGGTAGCCTGCGTCCTGTGGCCTGAGCCATTACTTTCCCATGTGTTGAATGGGTTTTCCAACTGCTTCTTTTCTATGTATAAGGTCTTTTATTTAAAAGGATTTAATAAAACAGCAGATAGGAATGTTCTTGATAAATCAAGCCACAACCATTCTTTTTTTATATACTGTTCACAGTTTAGTTAATTTCATACAAACTTGCTTCTGGCCTTCTTTTCTGAATTCTAATTTATGGGTCTTTTTCTTCAAAGGCAATATTTGTTCTCTGTTGTCTTTCTTGGAACCTGCCACCTGAAGTGGCAATGACATCTTTGTCCAGAGTATTACAGTTGCCCCCCTGTCTGTCTGGGTCATCAATGTTGGGCTGCATGTCTCTGTCCTCAGTTTCCATCCTGTGGGGGTTCGGCTTCCCCAGGATGAGTTCTGCCAAACTCAAGCTTCCGCTGCCTGTGGTCAGTAGTCAGTGAAGTACCTTGTATGTATCTTGGATTCTTCTCTCTCTCTATGCGCACACTGAAATCCTTCCATGGTTTTGGTCTCAGTCTTGAGACATCAGTCTGTGGATGGACTTATGCCCTGGACAGCTTGACTTTCACCAGTGTGTGTGCTGTGGGCCCTCCCTGCCTGGGTCGAGGCATTCTGTGGATTTGAGGTATTCAGAGGAGATTGTTTTTACTACCTTGTTTTCCTATCGATGGACAAGCGATCACACTCATATGGCAGCATTGAGGTCCTGATTGTGGATCTTTTTAAGGCCTGAGTGTCTGCCAGCTTTTGCTCTCTGCCCCCTGAGGCTGAGTCTGGGCTGGACATGAGCTC